CCCCCCCACAAGAGTGTTGAGAGAAGCCACCAACGTCAGCTGCTTTTCGCTTCTCTTTCTTGAAGACAAGCGACTAGAGGACGAACTTGAACATCATACAAAGACAGGACATTCTTGTCATCTCGTCTTCTGCAGGTTGAGTTCCGATGGATCTCGGAGGAACGCCCTTGTTAACATTGTGTCAATGTGTGACAACTTCGCGGTGCCAAAACGGCACAAGGCATATCAGCAACTGGGCGGCCGTCTGTGACAAGAGGGTGTTGTCTCGATAATGGTGATGATGGTGTGCAATCATCCATCCTGCGACTGAGTCTGGCGGTCACTTGGTTGCAAATCCTCAAAATCGATACAGTTGCCTGAATGGTCTGAGAGGTTGATTAACAGTGATTCTGCTTTGAGCGGTAAGTGAAGACTCGTCTCTCACTCCTCGCGTCCTTCTCACCTTCTTGTCTCTCTCTCTAACGGTTGTGCCATGGCGCCCTGCAGGTTCTTTGCCAGGGGCAATTGCGCCCGCGGCACAGATTGCCGCTTCGACCATGCGCAACCTCTCCCTCCTCGTCGCGCCCCCGCGGGCGCCGACACCCCATCGCCGCCCAAGCCTGTTTGCAGGTTTTACGCCCGGGGGGCGTGTCGAAACGGCCCTGACTGCCGTTACCCCCACCCTGCGAACTCGGACAACAGTCTGAGCCAGGTGGCTGCTGGGACTGTAAGTCATTTGACTCGACAGTTCGATACTCAGGATCCGGTGAGCTAATCTGGTTTTATAGCACACGCACGATTTGTCTTTAGCCAACGACATCTCTCAAACAGAGAGGTCTTTCAAGGGAGCCCGCGTCCGCATCGGCGAAGGCACCCAGATCCTCGATGTGAAGTTCCCATCAGACGACACTGGTGTACGTGGACATCCACCGACCACTAAAGTACAAGTCTCGACCGTTCTCTGTTCATGGTACAACCCTTCAAGAATCGTGTGGCTTCACTACCGAAGCAGTCGTTGGGCAACAAACGCCAGTAAGAGATTTGAAAGAAAGCTTCAAGGCCGTCAGGTTACAAGCAAGATACAACCTCCATCCAAGCGGAATGGGCGGCCAAAGTCGATCTGGTCGGTGCAATTAAATAATGTCTCCGTCGAAACCACGACGAAGGATCTACAGGAGCATCTCAGAGGCGTTGAGCCAGACGATATCGTGTTTGGGAAGCCGACTTCACAAAAAACCCAACAGGAAGCTGTGGACTGGGTCGAAGAGCACCTGATGCAGACTGGCCGCAAGCTACGATCGTTCAACATCGAGCCGACTGCGTCTGGCTCTCGCACGAAGGCTTTTGCGTGTTTTGAGTCCCCGTCTGACGCCCGAGATGTGGTCGCTCTTGTACAAACCAATGTCCCAGACCTGGGGTCAAGATTATTTGTCGAAACAGTTGCCGCTGTCGCAATCCCAGTCCTCCGCGACCTTCACTCTGTCCTCAAAGATAAATTGGAGGAGCTCCAATCCAACAACAAGGGCCAGGTCAGCATTTCTGCACATGTCCACCGCGAGGTCAAGCTTGTCATGTTGAGGATCTATGGGCCAAGACCACAAGATGTGGCGCGTGTCAAATCGAAACTCGGAGAGATGTTGACTGGCACAGTTGTGCTTGACGATGGCGGCTCGGCTTTGTGGCATGACTTTTTTGCCAAAGACGAAGCCTTGTCATGCTTTAAATCTATCTCTCAAGACGGCAAGATCTTTATTTATCGGGACTTGCGAAAGCAACAACTTCAGCTGTACGGGTTGGAACCTCTATTCGAAGAAGCCCGCCGCACAATCATCCAACTTCTCAACTCTCACTCATCAACCCATCTGATAACTCTAGAAGGGGATCTCTTCAAAGCGGCATTGTCTGGAGGTTTCCGCCGCTTGGTCAGGAAATTTGGCAGGAACAATGCAAAAATGGACATACAGCGAAAACCGCCAGCCATAATATTTCAAGGTAGTCCTCTTGAGACAGAACTGGCCAGGTCTCTCCTTTTCGACCGCACTTCCAAGGACGCAGAAGTCCACCAAGCCGATGATCATGAGGAATGTCCCTGCTGTTTCTCGACTGTTGAGGATCCTGTCAAACTTCACTGTGGTCATACCTACTGTCGCGGTTGTTTCGAAGGTCTATGCGAAGAGGTGAAACATCAGAAGGTCCCAATCGTGTGTTTCGGGAATAGCAGTCACTGTGGCCAAGTTGTTTCTTTGAAAGAGCTCAAGGAAATTCTCCGCCACGACAAGTTCGAAGCAATCTTGGAAGCTTCCTTTGGCGCGCACATCCGATCCCAACCTGATAAGATGCAGTACTGCCCGACGCCTGACTGCCCGACCATCTACAAAGTCTCCGACGAAGCCAGTGTGTTTACATGCGTCAACTGCTTGACCTCGATCTGCGCCAGATGCCGAAAACTGAGTCACGACGGACTCACTTGTCAACAGGCCCGCGACGAGAGCACGGCATCTCGCGAGACGGAGCGGTTCAAAAAACGAAACAACATCAAAGACTGCCCGGCCTGTGGGACAGCAATGTACAAGGAAGGGGGCTGTAACCACATGGTCTGCCAGGGTTGTGGCACGCACCTTTGCTGGTTATGCCTGGAGAGGTTCACGGTTGAACTCGAGTGCTATCGCCATTTACACGATGTGCATGGCACGATCGGCAACCTGGATCCCGCCGAGTTGCAGAGAGTCGAATTGGAACGCGCAGACATGGATCCGGGCCTGGTGCAGCAGATCCTGGGACAATGGTTGTAGGTAGGCGCAAGCACACAAACACACAAATGCCGACTACGGACAGCTGCATCGCCTGTGTGTCTGTTCACTGGCGTATGAACAGACATCCACCAAACGCGCCACGGATGCCGACAACTCTTGATGCATCGGGAGAAAAGACGCCAGTTGGCGATGTCATCTGTGCTGGCTCCTCCGAAGTGAGGGAAGCTGTTGGTGACTATGATATGGGACAAATGAACAAAGGAAAACGAGTGTTTTGAGGATCACCACCAAAAAGGGTGGTGCATAATACTGGCTATCAGAGGGATCATGAAATCAGTACGATACGGGGCTGTTCAGGGGGAAAGAGCTTATCAAATCAGGTATCGCGATACTCGTCACCGTTACGGCTCCCATTCTTGCCCTTATGGACAGAGACAGAGACGACGAGGAAAGGTAAAGAGATGGTCAGCGGTCAAATAGCACGGCGGAGTCACAAACACTCGGCATGCCAAAAGGAAATTCTCAATCCTTTCCGACTGTTTGTATTCTTCACTTAAGATTCAAGGATGTCAAGTCAATCTTTTCCTCCATGAGGTTTACAATAAAAGTTCACAGCCAAACCAAGGCGGTTTCCCTTTTTTTATTTGACTCGAGTTCCCTTTGGGCCCAGTTTCCATAACCATTCAATGCTCCATGAGCTCCAGCACTAAGCATGTTGATAATCCAATCTCACAATAACTGATCGTTTTGGTTTCCGGCGCCCATCCCATTGACAGACCCGAAACTTTCTACCTCTCAAAGACCTCTGCTCAAGAGGGGGACCACCATCTGACATCGATCTCTTTCTCTCTCCCTAGGTCGGTCCCCGGTATTAAAGAGTGATTTCGCTGTTATTTCTTTCCCCCCCAATTTTGATAGAGGATATCGATGCTCGGAAACATGACAAGAACGCTTGCAATGCACAAAAACTAATCTCACAATTCTGACGGTAGTAGTAGAAACACTTCTGTGTGTGCTAACAGAACAGTATGACGCGGTCGAAGCGAAAAGCTGGGAGGATCATTCTATCTTCTTGAGCGTAGTGAGCCTCGCTCAAATCAACGGACATTCAGTATGCTTCGCGGCTCCATTGCTGAGTTGTTGAAGTCGGATAATGTGAGGTAAATTGTTGGTCCACAGTGGTGGGAGTTGGTGTGGGAGGTGCACATTGATTAGGGGCGTTGAAGGTCTTCTGTGTCACGCCGAACATGTCACCCTCAGGAGTGATAGGAGGTGTGTACAGACCATGCTGGACCAATGACGGGAACTGAGACTTTTGAGGTGTAGCATAAGTTTGAAAGTATTCAGAGCCTGCGGGTTTGGTGACAGCCGAGGGAGGGCTGAGATCGTAGGTCGGAGTCAACGGAGCTCGGGAGGCCGACATGGCAGCCTTTTGAGCCAGGAAGTTGGTCAAGACTCGAGAAACACCAGAGTAGCGCACCGAGGCATACTTGCGTGCCAAAATGCCCGAAGGCTCTTGAACTTTTTGTAGCAACTCCATAACAGTGGTGCTGCAGAAGTGAGCACCAAACTCATTGGGGCGAGCTTGAGGCCGACCGAGGATGTGGCGAGCTAGCACTAGAGCCGAAAGGGCAAGGGTGTGTGACTGCTTGGACACAAAGTCTCGGTGATAGAGGGCAATTTCCAGGATGTAGAGGGTCAAGCTTTCTGTTTCGGGGTCGTAGACGTTGTCCTTGACGGCCAACCGCATAAAGGCGTCGACAGTGGGATGTCCAATAGCCCAACCAAGGGTGGACAAAACATGCCACTCCATTTGCAAGAACATGTCGTCGTCATAGAGCGAACAGCACATGGACTTTAGCTCTTTGATTGTCGGAACCTTCTCTTTCTTATCTCCATACTTTGCCGCGATGAGCAGTGCAGCACAACCAACAAGCTGATAGTGACGCTTGTAGACGACACGTTTCGAACAGTAGCGATCGAGGAGGTTGATTGTAAGAAAGAGAGTCTCGGGTAGGAGCTGGAAAGCTGTATGGGCCTCGACCAAGAAATCGAGGAGGTAGGGGCGCATGTACCATTGAATTTCGGTTTGGATGTCGATTGCGTCGACGTCGGGCATGGTCTCAGCCTTGAATTAAAGTGTCAGTTTAAACTCACGCGTTAATAACCAAAGTTACTCACGTCCACTTTAAGCATATGCTCAAGCATGTCTTGCTGGTATTCATCTGCATCTCTTCTCGACATCTCCGACGCCATCAGGTGCTGACGATGTCTGGCAATTTCTTTGTCATGGTTTGGGTTCTTAATGACTGGGCGGCGGGGTTCGTCAAAGACCTCGACGATGCCACTCTCGTAGCCACTGTCGTTGGAGCCGAAGGATGAGATTCTGTTGTTGAAAGCCATGATTGCAAGATTGGTGAAATGGCGGATGAATTATCAATTGGAAGTGAGGCAGAGCAGAGGTGAGATATCGAGATTGCTCGAGGGGTGAAGATTAACGACGGATAAAAAGTGAGTGACAGTCGTGTAGTTGGCAAAAGCTTTGAAAAAGAGTGAAATGATCGGACGCAATCAAATGTTGCTCGCGAGGCTGGAGGTGGCCAGGAACCAAGGAGTTTAAAAGTGTCTCTTCTAGACTTGGGAAGCTGGAGCGTGCGTGGTGTGGTTAGCAGGCCGGTGATAGGTAAGTGAGGTGCTAGGACATACCGAAAGGGAGAAAGGGCACGGCGATTTCGAAATCCTTGTTACTAGGGATCAACACGAATGCTCTTCATCTGGCCAAGGATTGGTATGCCAAGTAGATTGACTGCTCGTGCGTAGGTTCAGCAAAGGTCGAATGAACGACTCCGCCGGGGTCTGATTGGGGCCTTGGACTGGAATGCGGGTTGAGGAGGCCGCCGAAGGAGACGGGATTTTTGCACTGGGAAATCTAAAATGAAGTCAGTCCGCTGATTGAAGGAATGGAGAAAAGAGCACCGACCTCGGAATCTGAAAAGCACGTTGGCTATTCCAGACTGTGGTGACCTCGTTCTGCTAAGGGAGATGCAAATCTGCTTGAGAATATCTGGTCAGCGAACATTTCCCAGGCTGCGTTGAAAATGTGGGGGCGTGGCAGAAAAAGGGTTAACAAGATCATGGGTCCGGCCAGCCGAAGATGATTGCATGTGTCGCTCAGGGAGTCAATCGAGGTCCAAGGTATAGATGATCAAGGGCAACACCAGGTCGAATTTCTCTTCCCTGCAGTGTCGTTTGGGCCATCTGTCTTCCCTTTCATGGCAGGAGGACTGCCGAGCCACAGGGGCTCAATCTCCTTTCTGAGCATCTGGTCAAGGAGGCTCGACGAGGTAACTGCATCCCTTCTGACAAGATTGCCCAGCACACTTTGAGATTGTTTAGGTCCTCCTCTTGATTTCACCTGCACAGGGCACCGCCAACTCATATTGAGTTCTTCTCCTTGATGTCAAGACGGTGGGGAGGCCTAGAGAGCATACGAGGGATAGGAGGAGACTCGTGAGGAGCGAGGGGAAACGGTGAGTGTATGCTGGAACTGTCGATATGTCCAATGGCCTGAGAGGAGAGGAGAGAGGCTGTCCCGCCACGGACCTGGTGTCGTTGGGGTTGTTTTATTTTCTAGACCTCTGGGACGGCTGTATCTCACTCTTGCCCCATTGTCCAAGCCAGCCACTGCAAAGAAAGGTCCTTACCTCTTGGATGAGATGCAGGATCTTTTGTGTGCCCAGAAGACCCAATGCAGAACGCTATCCAGAACGTTCTGCGTAAACGAGTGCAGGTTTCAAGAGCAGTGCAGGGTGTGGGTGGTGCAGCTCGAACAAGGCTCAGGAGGAACAGTGGTCAGAGCTGGTTGCGTGGGAGGAGAGTCGAGGACATGAGAGATACACAGGCGAGTCGTGATGTATCCGAAGGTCCAACGACAGGAGGAGGAGGGGAAGGAGCGGATAAAAAGAGGACGAGGTCAAGGCCTCATGGGATTGAGGATTGTGAGAGAAAGGACGGTGGTGGACGAGGAGAAAAAGGAACAGGAGGCCCGTCTGAAGTCTTGAGATGAGGAAGTCAGAGTGGAGTCAATGGAGTGTACGAGATGGTTGGCCCTGACAGCAGCGATTGGGCGAGGGCGCGGCCCCAGACACGACTTGCAGGGGTCGACAGCAGAACAACCAGGGAATCAGGGACGGCAGCGAGGTGGGCAAAAGTTGAGGGTTGCAGCTTGTGCGGGTTGGCGGATTGCGCGACAGCCAGCCAGAGAAGCAAAAGCTCCAATTATGCGGGTTCTGGCTCTCCAGAAACGGCGACCAGCCCAGCCGCAAGCCATGGCGTACGGTTCATTACTACCTACGACGATTCCGTAACTATTCATTGAGGGAAAACAGGCTTGACAGGGCACGCAGGGCACCGGGCCAGCCTGTGACCGCTATTGTGGCAGCTGTTTATTTGTTCAGCCCTCTATCCACGGCCAGTGGTCCCCGAAACTTTGTCCTGGTCTCTGGCAAACATGTTTCCAGGCTAGTATCGCCACTAGCGAGATGGCCCGGGGAGGGATAGGCATTACCATGGCTTAACTATGTCACTGTACCGAGTACTCTGAATGCCTGGGGTAGCACCCCCGTAAACGCCCCCTAACCCAAGGTATCTAGGCATGCCCAGCTTGACTCGTAGGTGCCTCTGAACAGGTACTCGGTACTCACGCAATACTCGGTCGACACACCACCACCACTACTGCTACCACCTCCTCCTTTCATCTGAGGCTCGTGAGACTCCTGTCACTTCACTTCACTTGACTTCAATCCAATACACCTCCTATCATTGACACCAACAAATTTCCTTTTACTTCCTGTTGGAGCTCCTGATGGGCAGCACAGCTCAGACAAATTGCTACTCGTATGTATCATCAGATCGACAACCGACATTTTGTTGTATTGAGCCGATCACCCGTCAACCCATTGTTGTTTTGGTCGTTACCCGTGACAAGTACGAGGTACAGGCCCATTACCAAGTACTTACAACCCGAGCTCTTTGCGGTGTTTGCCATCCTTTTGCCTTTTTTTGGTCTCCTATGTATGTAAAACCATACAGCACATCCACTCTGGTCGCGCGGCTGGCGGTTTGAGGAGAGCGCGTCAAGGCGCGTCCATTGGCCCATGTCGCCGTCAGGTCCTTGTTTTCGAACCTGGCTAATGCAAGCCTGACGGAGTCCACAGAAGTCTTGACCAGCTACTCGGGGTCCAAGCCTGACCGGCAAGCTGCGAGCGAATTGTCACTACTGCAGTACGAGGGGACTACTCCAAGACAATTTTTTGCTCTGCGAGCCAACACGCGGGAATTGCTGTTGCGCGATCTTCGTGATTGACGTGAGATGATTCTGCATGGCCCTGGCTATCCGGAGTTTGTCGTCTTTCGCTAGGAGAAGACTTCCATGATGGTGGCTAGCTCTCGCCGCAAGGACCAGCCCAGCTCAAACGACCTGAAGCAGATGGCGAGCACAGCTTTTGATGCTGCACCACTCTGTGGTTGTTCGTCCTCTGTTGCCTTGCATCACCGATTCCAAAGTGACCCCAGGATTGTGCTACTTGTGGACGACAGGGATACGAGAAATGGGTAGATGGGTCAATTAGCTTTGACTTGTCCCCCTGTCGTGCCTAGAGATCCAGAGATCTACAAGGGTACGAGGGTACTCCGTGCTCCGTTCCCTATCTCGACAAGTTGCTGGACATCAAGCACTGTGAGTGGTCGACATGTATCGGAAGCTCTTCCAGCCACTCCAAATGGTTCCAAACCTTCCATGTGCAAACCATCCTACCTACAACAGGGATAATCTTAGAGGCGGCACCATCGGGTTGTTCGTTTCTGGCAAACCCTCATCTCCGTCAAGCGAGTCGATCTGAGGAAAAGCTGCTGCACCCTTTTTGACTCGCACAAGGACCCCTGTCTTGTCATTATACCTCTGGTCCAGATCTGCAAAACAGTGAGTTTCCCTCGCTTTGTTACAGAGTTCTGATGCAGTCTTATTCCAGCGGTTACAGATCCGTGTAACTCAAGACGCATGAGCCCTCACCCCCCCTCCCTGACCGTTTCCTCTTGGTGATACTTTTACCCACTTATTATTGACATCACAGGAGACTAAGAGGAAGGGCCCGTGGGTTTTAGACCGAAGCATCTCCTCAGCGGTGTCTACGAGCACGAGAACCACCCAAGTACCACCTGACAACGGTTATGGCTGAGCTCCTGACTCCACGACACGACACGGGGACCCATGTACCAAGTATGCACGCGATGGAAGAGATGGAGAAGAGAAAAAAAGAAGCAAAAAAGGATCCCAAGCAACAAGGCACAAGGGCACGCGTTTGCCGGAGATGACGCTGAGACAGCCGAGCCAGTGTTGCAAAGTCCAGATCGATCAGCGTTTTTGTGCTGGTGGTCAACACTCGGTAGGTTGGTATATGGAGTTCAATATAATTTCAGATCTGATGAAACTCAGCTCGTCTCTTTCCATCTCCTCGTTTCTCCTTTGACTATCAATATGCTCCCCCGTTCCATCTACTCGGAATAACAACATACAGCATTTGTTTTTCGATCCCTCGTACAACCAAGATGCAATTTGGCCCCCTTCCCAAGTAAATCCTCCCTTTGTCGGTCCCCCACAATAATAAGGCAAACTAATGTAAGAACGAGTTAACTCGTAGACGCGCGCGCAGAGTCGTGACACGCGACTATTATTATTTGTTATATATTTTTTCTTCTGAGATTGCCACTATGGATTTCCGCCGATATTGTTTGCATATCATGACGCGCTATGGAGCGCCGAGGAGCTTTTAGCCTCCGACGCATCCCATGATTCCTCATCCTCATCAGTCAGATCAGCACCGAGATTTTCTTCGGCTCAAGTTGCTGGAGATTCTCGTAGTGTGGTTGGCGACATGGTTGAGATCCTGACTTCCCTCGTGGCTGTACCGAGTAGTGAATGGCTCGAATATTGTGAGGGACTGGCTGCGACAATGACAGCGACGACGACATCGACGACAACGACGACAAATATGCAGTGTCATCTCACATTGTGTCCCTTGTTCCGCCTTTCCGCTTCGTTCAGCCCAAACCGTTCATTCTACTGACCACTAATAACCAGCCACCAGAAACGCCCTGACCTGTCAAAGATCGTTGCCCAACCAAACGCCATCTGCCGAGAAACATTTCTTCATCATGGCATTGGTGCGCATCCCAACGCCTGACCTCTGACCCTGAGACGACCCTCAAGGCCCCTCGTATATCGATCGCCTAGAACCGCCGTCAGCCGTTGCGGGCAAATGCAGGCAGACAAGGCAGGCCATGGAGCGATTGGGCCTTTTGACTGGGTCGTCTGCAGAATCAATGCAGCACCACCAGCTCGCAGCGAGGAGAGAGAGAAACTCCTCCCAAACTGGTGACTGGCCGGCCACTGGCTTTCTCATCCGAGCCTTTGATTTGATTTCAATTGCAATATTGACAAAGCTCGAAAAAAGACCACTACAAAAGGCCTGAATGAGACTCGACCAGTCACAAGTCCCAATCGTCGCTCGTCGCTGGTCCTATCGCTTGTTCCCCTTGATTTCGTTGGCTGGCTTAACGAGTCTCTCAGCAGGGCTTGGGACAGTCTCCCGCGAATCGTGCGGTGTAGAACAAGAAAAGGGGAAAAGGTCCAAGAATCACACCAGGGAACTAGAAGAGGCTGGCGCAAGGGCTTTACGAGCTTTACGACGCAAACCTGAGGCTGGCGAAGACCCAATGGAATCCCGATCCCAATAACAAACAGCCACTCCGTCCTCGAGCTGAGATATGTCGGCATGTGACTTTGTCCCGCTGGCACAATACGATGTGGGTTTTTATCGTCCCTTTTCTACCACTTCCCAGGCGACGTCGTTTCCGGGTGAAGCATCTACTGACTCCTGAGTGCTGACCAGTGGAGTCTACACCCGGCCCTCGAGCCGGTGGCCATCCCATGGAACCCAACCGCATACTGTCTGGTGGCCGGGTTCTGTGCTGTGTCGCTCTGGATGACGGTCGAGTTGACGTTGCAGGTGTTTTTCACCTTCCGGCGGCACAAGGGTCTCTACTTCTGGTCCCTCCTGGTCTGCACATGGGGCGTGGCGCTGCACGTCCTGGGCGTCATCCTCAAGCTCTTCAACGAGAGCAACTGGATCATCTCGAGCATCATCTTCAAGATCGGCTGGGTCGGCAACGTCACCGGCTTCTCCCTCGTGCTGTACTCGCGGCTCAATCTCGTGGTGCACGACCGGCGCATTCGCCGCGCCGTCCTCGCCATGATCGTCACCGACGCCATCGTCCTGCACACGCCCATCATCATCTTTGACTTTGGCATCTCCTCCCCCCACCCCGGTATCTGGTACACGCCCATGAAGGTCATGGAGCGGATCCAGGTGGTGTGGTTCAGCGTCCAGGAGACCATCATCTCGCTCATGTACATCTGGTGCACGCGCAACTTTCTCAAGGACATCTACTCGCGCCAGACCCACCGCGTCATGCAACTGCTCATCACCGCCCAGGTCGTGGCCATCGTCTTCGACATTGTCCTCATCACGGTCGACTGCAACGACATGTTCACCCTCAAGGTGGTCATCCACCCGTTCTGCTACGCCGTCAAGTTGAAGCTCGAGTTCATCGTGCTGAACCAGCTCCTCGCCCTGATCAAGCATGGCATCGCGCCGAGCAGCTTTCCCGCCCCGGACGAAGAGTCCCCCGACGCCAGTGGGCTGACGCCGCCGCGATCCGGCGCGGTCAAGCATGGTTCCTTTGTGAGCACCGAGATCACCGCCACGGACGCGCGGGACAATGCGGGCGTGGATGCTTCGCGCAAAGAGTCCGTGCTTCTGCCCTCTGGCGGGCTCGGGAGAGACATGGAGTACTACAGGAGGAGGGACGACGGCAACAACAAGAGCCAGAATATCGATTCTGGCATTACGGGAGGAGATGCCCGTAACAACAAGAACGAGTCGTCGACAATCGTAAAAGGTCAGACACTGCCTAGTCCAGACCCTGACCCGGACGCGATCGAGCCACTTCCTCTTCCGCTCCCAGGTCCAGCTTCAGCGTCAGCTTCAGCTTCTCCTCATCCGCCACCACCACCACCCCCTCCTCCCACAGCTCCTGTACCAAGAATACCCGAGACACGGCCCTTTGAACCACAACCGCCCGCCCGGTCCCTCTCGGACCCGACACCTCTAAGCCCCACGCAGCAGCAGCAGCGTGAACAAGACTCGGAGGCGATCGTGGCGCAGATCGAGAGGCATTACCTGGGGAACTGGAATGGGTGACCTCCTCTAACGAGGATTCACGGTTTACGAGTTAGCATGATCAATAACTAATTGATAGATAGGATAGGATAGGATAGGTAAGGGCAAGCTAAGCTAAGGTAATATGATATGATATGATATGATATATATGTGGTGGTAACATACCTAACAAGAGAGAGAGCGGGAAAGCGAAACAGTCGAATCAGACTCACGGTGCTGTGTGCCCGCCCACCCCCCTTGTGCAGTCCTTGGGTGGGTTTTCTCATATACATACATACATACCTACCTACAGTACTTCAGGTCCTTGTCAAGCGACCAAATATGACCCCGACTCGGTAACATGTTATGGACGTGACATATGTACTATGTACTATGTATAGCATATCTCGATGGATTATATGAGCTCGGCTGGCCTGCTTCTTGTGTCTGCTACACCAAAGCCCGTCGACGTAGCTACTGTAGCTGGCTGGCTGCGTAGTGGACGGGAAGGGAAGGGAAGGGGGGAGAGAGGTGAGCATGGATCATCTCAAGAGTATATGGCTCTACAGCTCACAGGAGAGGGTGGATGTCCAACGAGTTTGTCGGTGTCGTGGATTCCATGATCGTCGCGTACAGACAAACTCACTCCCAAGGCAAGGATCGAAAAGCTCAAAGACCCCTTTTATCCGCGAGTGCAACTCAGCCCTGTGAAGCCTGAGTTCTCACTTCCTTTCTCACTTCTTCCCCTCCACCGCCTCCGTGACCGCGACCTCGACCGTCTCGGCATACCCTCCCCTGTCCTTCTCCTTGTCGCCCACACCCAAATCCCGCTCGTCCAAGACATTCATCCGCCCGAAATGCGAGTCAATCTCCTCGAGCGACTTCTTGGCCGTCTCGGGACACGCGAGCACCACCAGCGCCAGGCACACGAGGTTGAAGGCCATGAAGATGAAGTACGTGCGCGGACCGATGTTTTGCACCGCGACGGGCCAGACTTGGCCGACGATGATGGCGCCGATGGATTGGCCCGACGCGGCGATTCCGAGGCCCGAGGCGCGGACGTTGGCGGGGAAGATCTGAAGAAGGGAGATTTTGTATTAGTTCGCAGGATTGGAAGAAGGAAAGGCGCTGAATAAAAAGGGGGGGGGGCTAGGATAGCATAGGATATCGTATCATATCCAGCCTCGTTGGTTGGGTAGTCAGACAATTGACAGGGAAAGGAAAGCATACCTCGGACGAATAGATCCAGGTTACAGGACCTGAGCCGATTGAGTAGCCCAGAGTGAAGAAGAAGATGAAAAAGATGTTGCAGTAGTTGGCCGCACTGTTGACTTGGTTCGGATACGCCGTCTGCAATGCGCCGTTGATCTATGCATTCATCGCCGGGCTGTCAGCATGCATTCATTCTGGACGACGTATCCAACTAGAAAGGGGAGCTGTGGTCGAGGACAACCAGGTCAAAACTCACCATCAAACTGAACGCCATAATTGCGGCACTGGATGACAGTGCCCACCGCCTCCCGATACGATCGATCAGCAACAGTCCGACAATCGTACATGCGACCTGAACCGTCCCGTCGATGCCGCTCGCCAGCAGACTCAGCTCCTTGGACGTCCCGGCCGCGCTGAAGTTGGACGGTAAGTAGTAGCGGATCCCCGAGGCGCCGCTCATCTGCTGCAGGAAGTTCAGCGTCCATGCGCGCCAGAGCCGTGCGAACAGCGGCCGGTCGGTGAAGAGCACCCGCGCGGATTTGACAGAGTGCGTCTTGTGCCAGAGGATATTGGCGTGGATTTCATCGAGCTCGGATTGGATCAACGCCACGTTCGACGAGTGCCCGCGGAGGGCGGTGAGGGCTTTGGCAGCGTCGTCGATTCGATCTTGCTCCATGAGCCATCGAGGGCTGTTGGAAGATGTTAGTCAAGTACTTCGCAGTCCTAGGGGATGGTCGAGTTTCGCTGTGTCATAGGACTCCTTACCTCTCAGGAAAGAAGGGTATCAGAGCAAGATAGAGCACTGCAGGGACAAACTGCATGATGACACTCAATCGCCACTGAAGATCGACCCCTCTACCCGTAGTCCAGTGGCTGAAGCCGTACCCTATCCAGAACGCGATGCTGATTCCGGCGACGATGCCGATCTGGTTGCACGCGACAAAGGCTCCTCGCGTCCTCGCGGGACTGATCTCGCTGAGATACAACGGCACAGCGCAGGCGACCAGACTGGTGCCGAGGCCCGCAATGATGCGTCCGATAATCATCATGGAAAGGTGCACGGCGCCGGCTTGGAGGGCTGCTCCTACGCAGAGGATTGAGACACCCCAGAAGCCGGTCCAGCGACGGCCGCATTTCTCGTTGACAGGGCCCGCGATGAAGGCGTAGCCAGTCCAAGAACCTAGAGCCAAAGGCATATTAGCAGCTTTTCTCCTGGAAGACACATTGCAAAGGATGGACGACAAGATCATTCGGGAAGCAGTACAAGTCACATACCCGCATAGTAAATCGCCGTAATCAGTCCTGTCTCGCTCGACGACGGATGGTGCAGTGATGAGATGAAACCGGGGGCGACGTATATGGTTGAAATGATGCCAATGTCATAGCTTGAGCCATCTACCAGTCAGCCTGGCACTTCCTGCAGAAAGGCAAAGCTCAGGAATAGAAACTCACCCCCAGAATATGGCTCCCAGGGACATCCACGCCGCGGCCAAGTAGAGTCGCCAGTTAGCCCTGGGCGACGAAGGTGTCGTCGCTGCCTCCATGATTCTCGCGAACTCGGATGGGAGGCGAGGAGACGTGCGTGAGGGAGAATACCCCTTGTAACAATGCTGAGCGACCAGAATGAATGAGGCGTCGGCACACTGTATGTTCAACGGCCAGTGAAGCAGCCCTCGACAATCACTGAACCCAGTCTACTCTCAATGCAAAAGCAGACAGTGGGGGTTTTTATACAGCGATCAGGAACCATGTCCCCTGTCCTCCCAGCCTTTCTGGCTTCCTCTCCTCTTCGGCACTTCCTGCTCGTTTACTGGACGACGAGAGGAGAGCAGAAGACGACGCTCGCATCGGAATGGACCACGAATGGTGTCTCCTGCGCGTTAGCAGGCGCCATCCCCGTATTGAGTCGAGAGGATTGTGGGGAAGCGAGCCCACGGTGTTTTTGTGGAGGAGAATGGCTCACGCTTCCGAGACGGAGGGGCCTAGCGCTCGAGCTAGAAGGATTGGCGATGAGTCGGAGGCTCCGTCTCTTTCACCTGGATTTGTAGTTGCTCTGCCTTAACCCGTCTGAGATGGTGGAGTGACAGACGCCAGAGGTTGATGAGGCAGCTGATGAATCCAGAGGCATCCAAAACAGCAGAGGCTCAAGAGCGAGAATGTCGAAACAGCCGAGAATCCTCATTTGTTGTTTGACAGATAAAAGTAAGTCGGAGATGGTCGAAAGTAAACAACATTCTTGCCCTTCTCAATGGGTTCCTCTAGTAATGCCGTCCTGACTCACCACTCCACGCGACCTCTGACTCCGACAATATCACAACACACCTTCCATCGCCTCCCAGGGGACCAAGGCCAGTTCTCATGGCGTCCGTCGCAGTATCTCGAACTCCAGCTCCCCGCGGGCCTGGATTTGATCGGTGGTGAGAGTGCTCTGGACGATGAACGGCGGAGGATCCATGTGACGCCATGTAATCCTCCGTCTCGGAAAACGAAATCAGGGTGGGACGGCGAGCATGAGCATGACTATGAGCGGGAGGCTGGCGAGGAGGCGGTTGTCTTCATCACCCGCAACGGCAGTGTGACGGGCTTGCTTGGTCTTCCGCGATTTCGCAGTCTGACTGTCCAAGTCGTCGGTGTTGGTGGGGGATTCATCCCTGAACATTTCAGCACTTGTTCCTTGCCTCCTCCTCCTCCCTCCGGTTTAGTCTGCGTCGCCGGTGGGATAGGAATATGCGCTTTCCTCCCCTTCCCCTCGAGCCCTTACGACACAAGAACGAGAACGAGACGGACCCTCCTATGGTCTATCCACTTCGATGACATCGACCTCGTGACCCATCTCCTGCCACAAGGTCTGCTCGACCCTTGCCAATGGACGACAATGCGCATCTTCCTCACAAGCGGGACCGATGCCTTCGAACAGACGTCGTTTGCCTCTCTTGGGCCAAAATGCGACGACATCGCGGCACGGGTTCGCAGATCAGGACCATCGACGGCGACACTGTCCTTTACTGTTGGACGCATGACAATGGACGATCTGTCTTCGGCGGTGATGGCAGAGGATGGGGGACATGAAAGGGGAGAAACTACGAAAGATGCTCTCTTAGCAAATATGACCAGCGCCGCAACCGTCTTTTTCTGCGGGAGCAAGTCGCTGGAATGGCAGGTCAAGATGTGGGCGTTGAAGATGACGCCGCCGTGTCGGGTTCATACGACTCAGCTGCAGAAATAGACAGGGATACAAAAGATGGAGAAGCGACTTCACAGACAGAACTATCAAGATCGGTATATTGCGGTATATCTCGCGGTGAAACATCCACTCGTATCTCCTTGTATACAACATGGACCAAACGTATGATCTCCTTCAAGCGCACATTTACTTCTCATACGCACGGACCTCAAATATGCCACCATAAACGTTCTCATCTCCATTCAGAGCAAATATTTCAACCCCAATGGCGCTCGTCAGAGGCCCAGCATTGGCCCCGTCTTCCACAAAAGTAATCTCGCGGCGTGTGACATGGTTGTCGTCTTCTTGATAGAGGATAGATGGTTGACCATTGGCATCGAGGCGGGCAAGGTCGACCACACGCCAGGATCGTACACAGAAAGGAATACAGCTTTCGGGATGTCCTCGCAGAACAGATTCCATAGCTATGACAAGAGTCAGCAAGGCCACCGCACGAGAACAATCACTAACAGAATGTACTAACCATGGTCGAAATCCGTGTCAAAGCTTACCACCAGTCGACCAATATTGACCGGCGTCTCCCAATATATCCTCAACATCTGCGCTTCACCCTCGCCCTGTTTACCTGCAGGAACCCAGCAGTTCGCTCTCTTGGTTGGGCGAGACACCCCGTTTCGCACATTTTCAGCTGCCCATGCTTCGACAGGAGGTGTCACCGTCAGCGCGATATTGTGGCCCATCGGTCGACGGACTGGAGTCCATCGTTCGAAAGCGTCAATTCCAATCCTCTCTGGTGGACTTTGGGTGCATTCGTGTTCGACAGTCATTATTCCAGATACCCTGTCCAGTGTAGTCGACACGGCGACAGACTCGTTTTCCATCAAGCAGAGAAAGACATACTGATCGTGCGGATTCTCAACCTTGAAGTCAACTCGAACGTCATTCTTGCCACTTGTAAGGCGGATTGTCTCTTCGCCGAGAATGACCTCGGGTGTGTAATTGTATGGTTTCTTGGATCCACGCAGCTGCACCGTGAGCTTCGTGTCTTCGATGGCTTCGACTGTGAATTGGAAGGACGGACTTGGCCCCTTTGGGAGAGGCAACATTTGAGCCAAACTTCTCGTCAGGACCTTTGGCGGCCCATTTGCTGGAAGCTTGTGCAGCTTGAACTCCGTAGATGCGGTAACCTGACAAGCTCCTTTGACCAAGTCGATCGGGTCATTCAGCTTGTAGCCAGGAATATACTGCCCCGATCGCATCAACTCGAGCTGCAGTAGTTGGATCTTGTCCTTCTTTAAGAGCGCGATGGGATCAACGCCGAGTTTCTGGCAAACAGCAGCTGCCATCCCCAAGGCGTTCCCGTTGTTCCCCGAAGTTGCCATGACTCGAGTCGATCCAAATGCGACATGAGTTGCTGAAATGATCCTGCCACCATACAACAAGTTTGGAATCTGTGAACAAATCATGGTTGACATGGGGATTTGGTAGACGCCCTTTGAATGCCACTGAGTGCAACCGTCGATTTCAGAAAAGACCCCATCCGCCGGGTGCAGGTCAATGGACCATCCTCCATAAGAAACCGCGTCTGGATGATAGCGTTGTTCAATGATGTCCTGTTGCTTGATGGTGTACGGACCCATGAACCTTCGCGACTCTCTTTTGCCTGGAATCATTCCCACCCACTCCAGCGTAAGGTTCTCGGCTTGTGGAAATTTCCCAGAGTTCTTGAAGTAGTTCCAAACTCCATATACAACTCGCCACAGCTCCCACTTGATCTTTTCCGTGTCGTGGATCGTGTCAAGCCGTCCTCCATACTCAATCCACCATAACTGGCAACCCATCTCTTTGACAGTGAAGGTCTTGTACCTCGGGATTTCGCTCTCGATATCGGCAAGAGCATATGAAGGAGCCACATATTTGACGGGTCGGCCAGTATCCTTCGAGTAGAAATAAATCGAGTGACCAAGCAAATGGCCATACTCGGAAGAAGGGGCAAACAACTCCCCAAATTCCTCTTTGAGTTCTGCGCCAATTCTGAAGGGGGCTCCGGCCAGAAACGAAAGAGCGCCATCTCCAGTACAATCTGCAAACAGAGAGGCCTTGACTTCGAATTCCAGGGACGTCTGCGAAGAGAAAGCCCGAACACGCTCAATTCTGTCTCCATCCTTTTGACAGCCTATCAATGTGGTATTGAGCAACAATTCGATGTTGGGCTCTGAAATAACCTTGTCCAGGAGCAGACTGTCGAGAATAACAGGGTTACCCTCCGGGTTCCGATACATGTTCTCGGTAAGGATCTCGTCAACGAGACCACCCTCTCGAGCATATCGATTGTTGTTAAACATGTGCGATGTCGCCCCCAAGATCCATAGCCGTACTTCAGACGAGGCATTTCCTCCCAACACCGGTCTATCTTGAAGTAGAACCACTCGAAGTCCTTGTCTGGCCGCCGTGACAGCGGTGCACACACCAGAAAGGCCGCCTCCGCAAACACACAAGTCAGCATTGAGCTCCTTTCGGCGGAAATCACGGCTTGATGTCGCTGGTTCTCGAATCAATTCCAGCTCAGGCAACAATCGTGATGGAGCCATATTAGGGTGCGTGCAAGGTCGAAGCAAGGTTACCCGTCGTAAAGCCTAGCAAGAAACGAGTAGACAATATTCCAAGTCGCGTAAGAGCCTGTTTCGTGGATTCTGGCTTGATGCTTGGGGCGAAGGTTGTCGAGATATTCATATTGTCAACATGTCCTCCATCTTTCCGCTCTCAAGCTTGTACCCATCACCAAGCGTTCCAGCGTCCACTAGAACTCCACTCTCATAAGTCGGCACCTCCATTTGGTGTCTTTCTGAGTCCATTCCCGCCACAAGCTTTACGACGGGAGAGAGAGAAAGGGCTCGGCGGTTCCGTATCGGCAGTTCCGTCTCCCTAGAACCGTGTCAGTTACAATCTCGGCAGGATATCACGGTACTCAAGTGTCACTACGCGAGTCTCCGAGAGCGGCCGAGGATGCAAGAAGAAGCGATCGCTTGCAAAGTCTCAGGTCTGGGTAGAGATGATTGCTGAGGGTTGCAGGGTTGACGGTGAAAGTTTCACGTCACATGATTTGAAGTCATTGGAGCGCATCTCACAAACTCCAACGGGAACTCGATGAACTTCAGCTGGAAGGGAGACTCTCATACTATCGCAATGGACCGCACTTCTTCTCTCACCTAACCGGCTGTGCCCCTGACTCATGACATTAATCGACCTGCTGCATAGAGAATGCAAGCAGACTTCCACACGAGCAGCCTCTCATCGCCACTCCCGTCGCACAATCCTCTTTCGCACGTTTCTCTCACCGTTAAACAGTTGCAGTCTGCCTGTGTGTTCTGCAAAGCTCGTAAGATCCGGTGTGATGGGCAGTTACCTGCGTGCAGTGGCTGCCGCAAGTATGGACGAGCCTCCAGCTGCTCGTTAAACGAGGATGGACAGGGGTTTGAGCGTGACTACGCTACCTACCTTCAGGCCCGCATTCGTCGGTTACAGGTTGCACTCCATAAAGACAGGAACCCGAGGCAACAAGAGAGTGCTCTGCGGAGAGGTCCGGTGCAGGAGCAACATGGTCCGGCCGGATTGATGCCGTCGTCGGCGGCCGCTTCTATTCAAGGTTCGTTGGTATATGCTGTCGCCCCGTAGTCTTCCTTGACAATCAGGTTCCCGGTAACTGACATGGACGTCGATAGGTTCTGAACCGGGCGGCAGGCCCAGCCTGGTCCAGAAGTCGCAAATTGACCGACTCATATCCGAGATCGGGGCTCTGCCCATTCTTGCCTCATCTTCAGATCCTTCTTGTCTTGACGGTCCGCACCTGGCGACCATCGTGCTGGCGGCAGCCTCCGAGTCAATCGTTGTGCCTTCAGTCATCGACCTGAACCACCTGGACGAAATTCGCGCCCTGCTCCCAAGGCTTGAAACCGCCAGAAAGTTGGCAAACCAGTACTTCGCGCGTGTGTACCCACGCCTGCCCTTCTTCTCAGTCCAGGGCTTCTGGACACATTTCAGGCTCGCCTACGACGACTCCACGTCTGGCTCATCAGTGCAGGATGACACGTCTCATGTCGAAAAGGCACCCCGACTAGCTGGCCAGGAGGCAGAAGATGGCCTGAACAAAGTAACAAACATCGGGTATTCGTATTTTACTGTCCTGGTCGTTTGTGCTATCTCGACAGCATCGCTCTCACGCAACGTCGATTCTGTGATATCGCGTAGAGCCGTTGAGACCTTCCTGGCAGCCCTGCGCTTTCGTGAGCACGCAGTCCTTCCGAACACAATAGCTGGGTTACAGGCAATCCTGTTCCTCATTCAATATGCTACTCTGAATCCGTCACAACTGAATGCCTGGTACCTGGTTGGGGTAGGTATGCGCATCTGCGTCGATCTCGGGTTGCACCAGGACCCTAGTGGTTCATCTATTCAGATGAGCGGCAATGTGCTGGAGACGAGACGTCGGTTGTTCTGGTCAATGTATTCATTTGACCGCTCAATTTCTCTCGGCACTGGTCGCCCTTGCGAAATCTCTGACAAGGTCATTCACGTAGATGTGCCCAATTTTAGCATCGGCTCTGAAGCTACCGAGGACGAAATCTTGGGATACAAGCAAAGATATCATGTCCTGAAACTCCAATCACTTGCATATGGAAAGCTGTACATGTCAGAGAGACCGGAGGATCCTGCCGAGTTGGTGGTTGAATTGTTGGAGCAGTTCCAGGATTGGGCTCGGAATAACCCTATATCCATGTCGGAACATGCTCGTATTCTGCTAAGGAGCGAGTGGTTGCAGGGTATGATACTCCTCTATCGGCCGTGTCGGGCTATCCAAAAAAGGACACCACAAGACCTCCGGAAACTGTGGGATGCGTCCCTCAGCTTCGCAAAGACATATCGTGGATTGGTGGAAGCAAATGAGATCTTTTATGTTCAAATCGCGTCAGCAAAGGTCTACACTGCCGGCCTTGCAATCATCCATGCTTATTGGCAATTGCGGCATGTTCAGGATGTAGGCGACGACCTACCAGAAAGCACTCAGGAACAAGCCAGCACCGTGGCTCCGCTACAATCACTTGATCTGTGGAGCGGAGTTGCGGATGTCAACTTCATGTTAAGATCGCTTTCAGACCGATGGGAGGAGGGCCGTCTTCTGGCCAAAAGATTCGAAAAACTGAGCACGGCCGCTATAGAGTTGCTGATGAGGCCGCAAACTAGACAAGGCGAAGATACGATTCAGGACATGGATTCGTGGATGCCTAACGAGGTTGTCCAGTTCTGGCGTCATTCGGCTCCGGCGAGATTGCATCTTTCAGACACAGATCGAGATCAGGATGGTGCGCACAATGAGCTGCAAGATCTGATCTCGGAGATCACTAATGTGAAGTCTGCGAGATAGCATACCACGCAGGTGAAACTGCTTTGCAATATACTGAGGGTCGCAATGTGACAAGGTGTTGTCATCATGTCATCTCGAGTCACCTTCAAAGTTCAAGGCACTCTTCATGTAGAAAGGCTCCATGGGATCGAAGTCACCAAAGGTGGCCATATCGTCATATGGCAATCGTCCAATGTTTCCAAAGTACTCGAAAGTCTCAAGTCCTTGGAAAGGGTCCTGGATTTCCATTGAGTTGTTCCAGTCCCATGGAAACTCTTCAGGCTGCATGTGACCAGACTCAAGAAGGTTGTCGGCGTGAAACAGGGTATTTGATGTTGACAGCCCTGAGAACGAGCTTCCAGTGCCAAATGCTCTGCCAGTCTCATCGTTCGAAGCAGAGGTTTGTTGACGCATGGTCTCTCCTGAGCTCTCTTCCGGAAGAGCTGGGACGAATTGCATACCAACCGAGTCTGCTCCAGGAGCACGCGGTTCGCTTTCCGACCTATGCTGGGCAGCTGCGTATTTGCTAGTGTTCAATGTCAACCAAGTATCAATAGCCGCCGATGGTAAATTTTGAGAGGGTTGTGAGCCTGCCCCGCGGGAACGAGATTGTAGAATGCCTCTGATCTCCCTCTCCATCACTTCTGATGTCTGTCGCGACAAAGTGACGAGGATGTCCCTTGCGCGGCTGACCTTTGGCCACGTCTTGATCATTTCATTGAGCACACTCTCCCATTGCACCAAGCAGCTCTTTATTGTGGTCCAGTCTCGCTTCGCCTCCACACGGACGTCGGAACAAGTCCGAAGGGCAAACAGAAGAGTGATTCCTGCTGAGAGCTGATATTGGAGATCCAGCCAAGTGAAGCCAGTCAATTTTGTATTGTGTCGAATGAACGCGAGCTGGATAGTGTTTTTGCACACTGCAAGGCAAGTAACGAGTTGGCTAGGGTCGAGCTCATGCCGGCTTGGAGATGGTCGATTCAAGAACAAGAGCGTATTGTAGTACCAGTAAGTCCACCAGTCAGAATCCTGAAGGCCGTCGTTCTCCAGTTGTCGACTTGTCTGCAGCCAGTCTTCCAAGCTGGCGGATATTTCGCTGGCCCAGGCATGGAGGTCGCCCTCATTACCTTGGTGATGTGTTTTTGTCGGTCCGTATAGTTTCAGCACCATCTGGCTCTGAATTCTCTGTAAACGCAGCCAATGCACCACCTGCTCACGTTTACCGACTGATATGGTCGAGCAGGGATACTTTACATCGATTGTTTCTTCGGGAAGAGTGAACGGGCGTCCGAGAATAGTGCTCAAGGTTCTGTCGAAGGAATAAGTGACCCAGAACAGACGTCTCTTTGTATCGATCACTCGATCTTCTGTATCAGGCTGAAAGTCGGGGTCTTGAGACAGAATTGAATCTTCGTTATGCAGTCCAAGGTCCACACACATCCTCGTGCAGAGTCCAGAGATATACCAGGTCGGTGTTTTGGTCTGGCTGAGCAAGGAGTAGAGAAGCAAAAGTAAAGTGCACTGCAACGCTTGTGTGTCCTTCCTTTGCAGAATTACCGGAAGGTCCAATAGTGCATTATTAGCATAACTCTCTGCTAGAGCAGCTGTGTGGGAATTGCTCCTAGAGAGACAGGAAAGAGAAATGGCAATCACCATTGTGAGCATGAATTGGGGCTTCACACGTGAAGCACCAGGGTCACCGGTCTGCCGGCTGGTGGAAAGACTCAAAATTTCTTGTGAGAATTCGTCCTCGATCAAGATCGGATACTGAACTTGGAAATGAGAGAAAAATATACGTGTGAGCTCTTGGGTGGTTTCGTAGCCTGGCAAAGTCGCCGGCTCATTAAATGTAGAACGTGATGTGTCGTTGGCAACCGGTGGACTCTCCTGGACAGAGAATGCATCCAAGTTTGGGTCGTTATGCCGAGCAGTCTCCAGTACAGCTCGTGCAATGTGTAACCCGCTTGAGTCTCCGAGATAGTGTGCTTCGCCTCGAGCACCTCCCAGATCGATCAAATCGGCTTGGATGCTTCCGATTCTACGTTCACGAGGCGCATATTGGCTAGAGGTTCCCAGCGTGGGATAGACGGCACGATTGCGCTGTGCTGCTTCAGCAGGCGAACCTTCACCATCACGGGAGGTCTTCGAATGGAGGCTTTCTGCATCTCTGACATGAACTGAAACATCCGCAAGCAGTCTGTCGTGTTCAAGTTGAAGTTGCTCCAACTGAGATTCTAGGTCGCAGATAAACTGTCGAGGAACGTTGGTTTTCGCACCCGGGTCGAAGTAGAAGCAGGGAGACTCTGAGCGGACGCATGGGGTGCAGCGTGGACGACCCGTGTCACAGCGTGTTTTCCGCGTCCGACAGCGATTGCAGGCCGGAATAGACTAGGCACAAGCCGTCAGCAGGAAGAAAGGTTCTCTTGCATCGGACGCAGCCTACGCGATGCACTGATGCGGTCGTCTGCATCGTCACTGGTGCACATAGTGCGAATACCTATCGGCAACAAAATATTCGGTCGAAGGACTCTTTGACAAGGACATGGACTGTTGAGTTCAAGATTGTTCGACTGACCAGGAACGCAGAAAGCCTGCAGGCCCAAGTTTCGGATTTCAGACACGTCGAGTAGAGAGGGAGGTCAGTGGCAGGTGTCATTTACCACATACCAACAACCACAGGGATCCCTAGGACAAACCCCACAAACATGCCTAGCCCGTTCATATTTCTCCGTACAGTACTCCTATCAGCCTCTCCACGTGACTGCGACGCCCACGTGGGCACGTTACTTCGTCAGTGCGTAATTAATATACTTGCGAGTTGCGCCATTGTTCGAGACTGGAACCTCGAGTAAAGCCTTCCAATAGGCAACATGGACCACGATGTTATGCGCGATCCCAACAACGCACCTCTGTCACACGTGGACAGTCTCTCTCTCCCCGCGAATTGTTCGCTCTGATTGGTGGAAGTGTCTATATGACAAGGGCAGTACAAGTACCTTTGATTCACCCGGCGATCAGCAAAGACCGCATCTTCAGCAGGTTCATTTCACGGAGTACAAGGATCCTAGGCTCAAGCGGCCTGAACGACACTGATGCTGGGCAGCCAACATCTGGCCAGCGCGGAGTAATAACATTTGTCGGCTTATTCTAGAAAGAATGACGCTGTAGACGCAAAAACTATGTTTCTGAATACCATGTCCAGGATCACAGATGATGGACATCACTGACCGTGTGGAAAGCTAGCGCGAGAAGATGCTTTCAACTCAATTGCGTCCAGACTACTAAGGGGGGCCTGATGACACCTTAGCATATGAAGCTACTCATCCTCTTCTTCTTCCGCTGCTGCTGCTCGGTCTTGCAGTGCCCTGGGCTTTGCCAGGACTCAGTCTAGCCGCCTCTTGAGTGGCCGTTGCGGCACTCCCTTTTTGTCCAACACCCTTGAGTCCCCCCTGTCCGTTCTTGGTCAACTCCTTTGCGTGCCCTGCGGTCGTCGGACTATTCCAATAGTAGACCACCTGGGCTGCTAGAACCGCGTTCAACGCAAACCCGGCAATAAATCCGTACAAGATCAACTTGTCATCCACTTCTTGAATTGTAGTGTAGATTCGACTGAGACTGCCAAACAAGTAGTTGAAGACGGCAAACGCAGACAACTGGCCTGTTCCACCCTGGCTATAGATCGTGAGGATCTGTGGCAGCTTACTAGCGATGCTCAGGGCACCAGCACCCGCCTGCAGACTGGTCATTTGTGCATTCGAGACAAGTGTGTCGGAGACCATGAGCGCATACACGGCACTACCGAAAGCCGCTAGAAAGGCGCCCGCCTGCGCGCTCTTCTTCGAATAGACCAGAATCAACACGCTAATCACCACATCTTGAATGGCGATAAGTGCGGTCTCGCCGTATGTGCTGAATGGAAAGCCATTGCGCATGTTATAAGCCAGGGATATGACGAAGCTGGTTGTTTCCAACAAATAACTTGTGAACGATAGTCCCTCCGAGGATTGGGACTTGACGAGTTTGATGATTTGGGGGACTTTCACGACAGATGCCGCGGTGATGATGACAATGCCCAAGGCTTTCGATATGGCCAGGGAAACGCATTCGGGATGGGAGGCGAAATCGAGGTCAAGGAGGAGGGCGCTGTGGCAGCTTTCGCCGAGGAGGTTGATGGCAAGGTCATTGATCGGGGCGGGTAGGTTGTGAGTGATTGGGATCAGGTAGGGTTTTAATGGGTTGAGGACAAGCTCCTGGACTTGGTCCATCGTGAATGTTCGATGCGACTTGACTTGACAAACTGGAGTAATCAGATCTGGAGAGACACGGGTAGTGGTTGTAGTACACTCGAGGGAGAGAAGTCTTGTTTATGATGCCAGGGTGGCCAGACATTCTCATGTCGAGGACAATAATGGAGTCACGTGACAACTTAGGGGCTTCAGCCTTGGTTTTTGCATTGACTGATAGCGAGTGAAGACTGTGTTGCACTATTTACATGACAAAAAGACTTGCTTACTGTTTCAGATGGTCAAATTATTGATACATAGACATTGTACAACTGTTCAAGGAATCTGCTTTACGCCTTGCGCGACAATTTTGGAGTTGTTACATGGGCAACCTTGTCGTCGGCGGCAGCAAGATGATAGGTCGCAAGCTGACCTTGGGTTATCGGTGAGGGTGCCCCAGCGAACTTGTCTTCGCCGTCTGCGTACTTTGGAAACGCGATCACATCTCGTACAGTCGCACTGTTCGTCAACATGGCCATTAGCCGGTCAAATCCCAGGGCAAACCCTGCGTGCGGCGGACAGCCAGAGCGCAACGCCCTTAGTAGATGGCCAAAATCCTTCACACGTCCAGGCTCCATCTTCAGGACCTCCCTGAGAACGAATTCTTGCATGAATTCACGGTGTATACGACAGGAGCCGCCACCAACCTCAACTCCGTTAATCACGAGGTCGTAATGATCTCCGATAATGGATAATGGGTCCTTCTTGAATGTGGACACCGATAGATCCTGATTTTGCTTAGGAGCCGTGAATGGATGATGCGTCGAGCAGATACCAGCAGACCCACCCTGTCCAGGCTCGGAGTCTTCTGTGGGCGAAAACAAGGGAAAATCCGTTACCCACAGTGCAGAAAATCCTGAAGGCGCAGGGATTAGACCTTCGGATATGGCGTGCTGATAGATGTCCCGACGCAGGTCTCCTAGAGCAGTAGATCCACCAGTGAACGGCTTACCATCGCGGCTATAAAGAATCAGGATGTCGCCCGGTTCAGGATCGAATTCTTCTTCCACTTTGGCTGCGCCTTCATGGCCAAAGCTCGCCAATCCATGCAGCGGTTTCAAGGGATCAAAGACCGCCACTCCGGGAATTCGTGCGCTGTCATTCGTATAGCTCGCTTTCGGCGACGTTTCCAAAAAGGTTGTTACAAATTTCTGGCTGTCTGCTGGTTCACATCCCTGCATGCAAATTTTCACCATTTCCACGACGGGGTCGTCAAGCGAAGTTACCATGCTCTTCACATTGGGCGAGAGCCAATGATCCACTCGATGAATTTCGGACCCAAGCCGGGTGTCAGGCTTGTCCGAACCAAACCGAGTCATCGCAGCGGTATATGTGAGCTGTGGAAAAGCCAGGTGGCGGTATTCCGGATCGGCCGATTCGAACTCGAACGCTGTCGAGGACGGCATTTGCAAAGGAGCGATTCCAGGCACGTTGGGCCAGACTGCATGGATGAGTAGCTCTTCCACCGCAGCCATCACGTCGGCACTACTGGCGAAGGCCATCTCGAGATCAAGCTGGGTAAACTCGGGCTGTCTGTCGGCCCGCAGGTCCTCATCCCGGAAACATTTGGCAAATTGAAAGTACCTCCAGATTCCCGATGCCATGAGGACCTGTTTATATTGCTGCGGACTTTGTGGTAATGCGTATGCCAAGCCCTTCTTTCTCGTGGGAACAATGAATTCCCGAGCGCCTTCTGGGGTGGACTTGAACAAAAGAGGTGTCTCTATCTCATCGAATTCACTGCGTAGCATATGTTCTCGTATCTTTCCTGCGAGGCGCGAGCGTAATCGAATGCGGCGACGGAGGTCCGAGTCCGTTCTGAATTGAAGGTGTCGCGACTCTGGCGGAAACACTGTATCGCATTTTGCGGTGAGGTCAGATGGAACTCCATTGAGAAATTTGTAAGAATCTGCTCTGATTTCCACGTGAGATATGAGGTCGATGTCTCCAACATAGGGGTCTAGTGTTCGGACAATAGTATCTGGCTTTTTCTTTTGTGGCGTCGCAGACTCTCCTGAGGGAACCCGCTGGTATACCTTCTTGGGTCGTGTCAACCGTGGCACAACGGTCCCCGAGATCCGAATGGGTGTATGAGGACGAGCGGCTCTGAAAATGCTCAATTGTCCTTCGGAGACTTCTCCATCATTTGATCCTTTTTCTTCACTAGACCCCTCAGCGTCTATGTGACTTTCCACCGATGGACTTGCTCCGACCTTCGCAGTGGAAACAGAATGGGGGAAGATGACTTGCACGGCAAGCTCTAAGCGTGGATCGACCAGTTGGATGAAATCGAAGCCCTTGCTAGGCCTGTGAGAAGTAATATAGCCATATAGCTGCACTTGGTTCTGGCTGTCATCATCAGGAGCAGGCGTACTCGGTAATGAATCGACGTCGGTCTGGCATAGTTTATTCCAGGCTTGACTGGCTTCTTTGGAAGAAGAGATCCCTGCTAGAGTTAGACGCTGGCCAAATCGCCGGTGAGGCACTGTCTTACTGGAGAAGTTGTATCGCCTGATATCGCCGTTACTGGTCTGCAGTCTTTGATCTTGTTGCCGGTCACGACGGGCGGAAGACGTAGAATATGCAAGTCTCTGAGAAAGACATGGTCTGGTGATGGCGCGCTGGGTGGACGCGAAGCCTGCGCACCACAAATGAGTACGGATATATCTCGATATCTCAATGTAGCTCCGTCGGAGGTGAGCTGAACGTGTAAGTGATCTCTGGACCTCCATCGGCTGCTGCTGCTGCACATTCAAAGACCCATTGATGTGGACGATCCAAAAGAAGGATTTGAGTTGGAGAACCTGCGCTGATGGTCCGTGTGCGCCAACCTCCAACGGCCGCCTGCGCACAAAATTCTCTGAGTCGCACTCTGTTTTCTTTTCCTTCTTCATCCTTCCAAGTTTTGAACAAGTGAGTCCCTTTGATCCGCGCTTTGACAAGTATATATGCTAACAACACCTCAGATGATGAAAGCCTAGCGTGTATTATACGATTCGTTTCTGCTGCAGGCGGCAGCAAGCCCTCTCTTCGGAGCTCAAGTGGCATGCTGTTCGAAGTGGTCAGAAAACAATGAGATCGGCGTTCGGCACACCCATCTTGTTACAATTACGGACGCGATGAAGGCATCTCTGACTCTCAGTCTTGGAATGGATCTACTCGATTTCCCGCTGATACTTGTGCCTGGTGCGCTTTTATCGGACTTTATTTTGCCTCGAGCTGCTCTTGGATCAGCTGTTTGACCGAGTCGACAGTGTCGGTACCGAATCGAAGCTTTCTTCCATGAATGACCTCCACGCCGCAAGTGCAGCTTTCACCTCCTGCGTCGAGCCTCCGAAAGCGACCCTCACATACCCGCGAAGAGCTCTACTGTCTCCGAAACATTTGCTTGCGGGACAGAGAAGGATCCCAGACTCCTCGAGTAACCTTGAACAAAACTGCTCACTGTCGATGGGCTTTCCCATCTTGTGGAACTTGAGCATTACTGTTGTTCCAGCTCGTGGCTCGACCCATGAACATGACCAGTTGTGCTCTTCGACAAATCCTTGCAGCAAGCCCAGGTTTGTTTGGCATAACCTGATGTTTCTTGCTAACAACGCGTGAATGCACCTCTCACTCAGGGCCTCTGCAGCAACCACCTCATCTAAAGTTGATGCAATTGTGGACTGAAAACGCCTAGTTCCCCTACAGGCTTCGAGAATCGCCCTGTCTTTCGTGGCAATCCACCCGGCTTTTATTCCTGCTAAACCGTATGCTTTACTTACCCCACCTGTCACGACGACTTTCTTATAGCCCAGGTTGATCGTTGAGGGTGGAAAATCATCGTCGGATGGCAATATCGAGTGGAAAAGAGGCCTGTAGGTCTCATCCGCCAGAATAGCTATTCCCTTTTCCTCTGCCAATTCAACGAGGGCCTCGAGAGCGGGTTTGGACACTATCGCACCTGTAGGGTCACAAGGACTTTGGATCGCAATCAATTTTGTATTGTCCCTGATCAATGTCTTTAACTCGTCAATGTCAACCGCCCACTTTTTCGCTGGGTCTGCGTTCCACCAAGTGACGTCCACGCCCAGAGATGCAGGTATCTTGTAGAGCAGTTCATCAACAGGGTGTTGGCAAATGACATGATCCCCAGGGGTCAGCAGCGCGGAGAATACTGTATAGTCTGCAGCAGCGCCTCCGTTGGTAATTATAATATCGTGTTCGGTCACCCCCGCAGAGCGCGCAGAGTATAGGGCTGCCAGGTTTTTCCGTAGATCAATGCTGCCCAAGCCAGTATCGTTCCCTTTGAGTTTTACTTCATGCAATTTCAGGGCCTTTTCGGAGCCCGGTCTGTCCTCTGAGATGTCAAGTAATTCAGATAAGGAGATGTTGGAGGCGGCCGATGATGAAAGGTCGTGTTTGGCTGAGGACAGATACTTTTCGTTCCACTGTTCTCGTTGTCAGTGAGAGCATTGTTCGACGAACTGCTGGTAATTCCTACCTCGATGGCTTCAAGCTGCTGGAACCCGGCCATGTTCCCTGTGGGAACGACACAAAGCGTGTGCGTACTCGATTGAGAATGATTGTGTGACGGTGCCGTAGGAACAAACGTCTGAAAAGAGTGCTCTGCACGACTGAATTCTTTTCATTTCCAACTGCGGTGTCGCGGAAATACCGATCCGCCGAGTGAACATAGCTGCATAGTCAACTGCTCCCCACCTCGACAAAGTGCATTTGCGACATCTCCAACTCTATGCCCCGACCTCGTATGTCGTACCTTAATTGACTAGCTGACTAGGTACCTTACCAGCTTACTTAGTCTTAGCCCCAGACTGGATGATGCCACGAGTGCCAATAACTGCCGGTAGCTTACGATTACAACGATTGGGTGCAAGCTTACAGCCGTCCTTAACTGGATAAAGCTCGGCCCATTGGTCCTAGGCTCAAAGGCCAATCCCCGGTATCAGGTCTCCCGTCCCCGCCCGTACCATACAGGAACGTGCCAGCAGTTGTGCATCGTGCTGTTGCAACTTGTGTTGTGCTGCGACGTTTGGACCTTTCCAGTTCAGATCCTCCCCTTCCCGCGGCGGACTGCAATGGTGTGATATCTTTCGACTCCCATCCTACATCCTCTGTCGCATGTCCCTCCTATCATTCTTGTACCGACAGTCGCCCTACCTAACCTTCTGCCCTCGAGGTTTCTACCGCCTTGACTGGACAAGCTTCCGTTGACAGGCACCAGCCACACGATCTATCACCTCCACACCTGCACGGCGGACGATATCGCCCGGTCCATCCTCAATGAACCTCCATGGCATTGCCGCCGCCCTATTACTTGTCGCACCGGCATGGCTCGCGACGGCCTATCCCAATGATACTTCGCGGGCATTGATGCAAGATCCCTTCCTCGATCTAGTCGACGGTTGCCCTCCATGTCCTCGATGCTTCGACTGCCACTACGACGAATTCAAATGCCTGCAATTTGCAAGCTGCAGCAGCGCCAACGGGAAATGCGTGTGTCCTCCTGGCTTCGGGGGAGACGACTGCGCGGAGCCGCTGTGCGGTTCCCTGGTCGATGGCAAGAATAGATCACCAAGAAGAGGCGATAAGTGCGATTGCAGAGATGGCTGGGAGGGAATCAACTGCAACGTGTGCACTTCCAATGAGGCATGTAACGCAATGATGCCACTGGGTCAGGGTGGGGTTTGTTATAAAAAAGGTGCTTTAGTCCACGAAAACTACCAGGTGTGCAATGTTACCAACAAGGCCATTCTGGACCAGATCGATCCGCGCATACCAGAGGTTACCTTCTCCTGCAACGCTGAAGACGCTACCTGCAACTTCCAGTTCTGGGTGGATCAAAAGGAATCGTTCTACTGTGCTCTCGACAATTGCACTTCCACATATCAGGACACGAATGTTCGCAATACGACAAAATATCAATGTCAAAACATAAAGTGCTCTTGCATACCAGATCGGTTCTTGTGTGGCGAAGATGGCTCCGTCAACATCGACGAGTTCTTGGAGCAAGAGATCAAGGGGCCAGCTTCCTTCTACTCGCAGCATACCTATGGCGGTAGCTCTAAGGATGGCAGTCGTTTCGAAGAGCCGGCCATGAACAACTTGATATCTATGATATTCGGCGATGAGTATATCTCACTTCAGTGTCGGGCAGGCGAATGCCTGTATGAGACGGAGGTGCCTGGATATACAAGACCTATCAAAGAGATCAACACCCCTTTGATTGCAGGAATCATCGCCGGTTGCGCCCTCTTTGTCGTTGCCGTCACACTCATATCGTGGTACCTCTCGAGAAGAGCAGCGCTCAAGCGATGGGGAGCCATTCGACTAGGTGAAAATGGTGAAAATGATGCCTCGCTATCAATGATCAACCACACCCCGATGTCTTTGCAATTTGAGAACGTCTCTTATGGTCTGAAAGGAAAGGAAATCCTGTCTGGCATTTCTGGCATCGCCCACCCAGGCCAACTCACAGCCATCATGGGTGCGTCCGGCGCAGGCAAGTCTACGTTTCTCGATATTCTGGCTCGCAAGAATAAACGTGGGACTGTCTTGGGCCATATGTATGTCAATGGCGAGAAGATTCTCGACGGGGAATACCGAAATGTGGTGGGCTACGTCGACCAGGAGGACACCCTTTTGCCAACTCTGACCGTCCATGAAACCATTTCCACCAGTGCTCTCCTGCGACTACCAGCTGATATGGGCATTTCTGTCAAGGAGCAGCGAGTTATCGAAGTTATGCAGCAACTCGGCATTTATCACATCAAAGACCAAGTGATTGGCTCGGAGGAAGGAAATGGTCGAGGTATTTCCGGTGGCGAAAAGCGACGGGTTGGTATTGCTTGCGAGCTTGTGACAAGCCCAAGTATTCTCTTCCTCGATGAGCCAACCAGCGGACTCGACGCCTTCAACGCTTTTAACGTAGTTGAATGTCTGGTCACATTGGCCAAAACATACAACCGGACCGTCATTTTCACCATTCATCAACCTCGCTCCAACATCGTGGCTCTTTTCGACCAGCTCATTCTTCTTGCCAAAGGTCAAACCGTCTACTCTGGTCCCTTTTCAAGCTGTCAATCATACTTTGATCATATTGGTTACTCCTGTCCGCCGGGTTTCAATATCGCGGACTATCTGGTGGACCTGACAATGCACGCCAGTATTCCACGTTCTCCCATATTCGAGGACGTTCCGAAGGATTTGCTCGACCGAGACATCCCGGGAACGGAATCAAGCAGCACGCGGGCTGTGAAGTCCATTGCAAGTGTCTCAAACGTGAGCATGGAAAGCCCACGCGAACCCTCGACTCGAATAAAACCAAAGAGGAGGATTTCGCTGAAACAAAAGCAGGACCGGCAATTGTTTACTCGAAAGAAGGCTTCTGGGAGCGAAACTCCGCCAACACCAAAGACTGATGATGAAGACACTATAATGGGAAGGGCAACTGGCAGCATGCGGAGCTGGCTACCCCTGTCGAAGCGAGATGGGTCCAACCCGCCACCCCTTTTGGAGGATCCTGACGACATACCACCAGACGCCAACACCGACCTCGACATTCTGGTGACCAGTTTCAAGAACTCAGATGTCGCTCAGACGATCCATGACGAAATCACAGCTTCAATTCAAGCTGCATCGGCGGCAAATGGCCACGGTGGAGAAGACGCTGTAACCGAGCCCGTGACAGGCTCGATTAAAGGCTTCCGGCGAGTCAGCCTTCCACGACAATTTTTAATCCTATCCAGGCGGACTTGGCGGAACCTGTATCGCAACCCTATCCTGATGCTGACCCACTATGCTGTTGCTATTCTGCTGGCGGTATTGTCAGGATGGCTCTTTTACGGCGTCACAGATGACATTGGCGGGTTCCAAAATCGACTAGGTCTCTTCTTCTTCCTGCTGGCATTGTTCGGTTTCAGCGGCCTGACAAGCTTGAACGTCTTCAGCGCAGAGCGGTTGATCTTCGTTCGAGAACGTGCCAATGGATACTACTCTCCGATCACTTACTATGCTGCGAAGCTGCTCTTCGACATTGTACCGCTCCGACTCATCCCACCTATCATCATGGGCATCATCATCTATCCAATGTCTGGACTTCTCCCGAAGTGGGGCGTTTTCTTCACCTTTATACTAATATTGGTGCTCTTTAACTTGGCTGCGGCGGCAATCTGCTTGACGATTGGTATCGTGTTCAAAGATCCCGCTGTCGCCAACTTGATTGGTAGCTTGGTGATGTTGTTCAGTTTGTTGTTTGCTGGCTTGCTCCTCAATCTCAACCATGATAGCATCCAAAAAGCAGCACAGTGGCTGCAGATGGTAAGTATCGGTCATGACCTTTGGTGGTGGTTGTGCTAACGGTCGACACAGTTATCCATCTTTCACTACGGCTACGAAGCTCTAATCGTAAACGAGGTCGCAAAGCTGCGTCTCAAAGACCACCGGTACGGCCTGGACATCGAAGTACCCGGAGCCAGCATTCTCAGTGCCTTTGGCTTCGACAATCTGGCACTGTGGAACGATGTCATCGGCCTGGGTGTCTTTGCAGGAGCATTCATCATCATCGCATACATAGCCATGCATTTCCTGCTTGTTGAGAAGAGGTGAAGAAAGTAATGAGGGGATTGTCTGACGATATCTCATTGTTGTTATTGGAGAATCTTGCATTTGCTGGCGTCCGAGGTACATAAATAGATGAGTTTGGTGGAAAACGGATCATGGAGGCTGTAAACAACGGATATACATATACGACTAATATGATTTGGACCGCAATATCTTGCACGAGCTTTCGCAGGATGTAGGATTTCTCCGATATTATGAGGGGCGGCCAATCTCGGAACCGTGCGTCTCGAAACGCAGGGTATGAGACCGACTGCCGCTGCCCGATCTCGGAGATGGTCATTATGCGGGGAGCCGGACCCGAAATCTCCATCCGTCGTTCTTCGGCAACCCGACTCCTGAAGTCCTGACCAAACTTGAAGAAAACAAACTTATTTTCACAACACGGGTGTGGATCAGTAACTGGCAATTGAAGCTCGAGCATTCTTCTCAGTGTTTCTCAAGAAGGACGGATACAATGACTGTCCCTTTTCGCGCGTGTTCTCGCTGCTGCTTCGCATCGGTAGCGACGGGCAGCGGTGCCCGCCTCGGAACAACCACCTCGCGAAGCTTCTCTTCGTCTCGGACGAGACTGAGCTCACCGCCAGCGGATCCAAAGGCTATAACTGAAGCGTTTCTGTCCAAATTCTCCAAGGGACAGACGTTCGTGCGCCGTCAGCTGCTGGATGCGAATCAGATCCGCCTCTTCTCTCTCACTCTGGACCGACCTCATCTGTGGCCGACTAGCTCTACCAAGACGCTCGAGGAGGCGGAGCCTGTCGAGGGCACTCCGATTCCCCCAGCTTATCACATATGCTACTTTACGCCAGCTCAACTACCGGGGATATTGGGGCTCGACGGCACGGACGCGAGTTTCAACCCCAACGCTCCCTTCACGAGACGCATGTGGGCTGGCGGATCATGTCACTGGCCCGGTGCTGATCCCAGCTCAAAGAACCAGGCGCTCTTGGTGGTGGGCGATACCGTCACCGAGGTTACCAAGGTCTTGAGCTGCGAGCCCAAGGTCATTGGCAAGACGGGCGAGAGTATGTTGCTCGTGGGCGTGGAGAAGGAATTCCGCAATGGGAAAGATGAGCTGTGCGTCCTGGACCGGAGGAATTGGGTTTTCCGGGTAGCCCTCGACCCTTCCAAACCTGCTCCACTGGTTCCCAAGCCCAAGGAATTGTCACAGGGGGAGCTTGACAAGAGCGTCGAGGGCAAACTCTGGCGGGAATATAGTCGCGATGAAGCAACGCTGTTCCGGTTCTCGGCGTTGACGTTCAACGCGCACAGAATTCACTACGACAAGCCTTGGGCAACGGATGTGGAGGGTCACAGGAACGTGGTCGTCCACGGTCCGATGAATCTACTCGCCATGTTGGACCTTTGGCGAGATGAGGCCAGTGTTGTCCGAGGGGAGGGTGTACATTATCCCCAGACGATCGAGTACCGGGCTACGAGCCCTGTATACGGCAGGGAGCCTTACCGGGTGATGATGAACCAGGAGGCGGTGGGAAAGAAGGAGGCAGAGACGAGGGTGATGAGTAACGATGGGACGGTGTGCATGAAGGGGACTGTGAGGGATTGGCCTTCGAGCAACTAAGGGCGCAGCCCCCACCGACAAAAAACAAATTGAGTAATCGGTGTGAAGAGATCCTCGACGGCCTCTTACGAAGGTGGCTGTTTGGCTCGTGTCGCTCACCAACCCGAAATGGGAGCGGAGATTCGACGTCTCTTCGGGATGAGCCATCTAGGCACAAGGATTCTGTTGGGGCAAGTGGCTGAAAGTTGTCGATAGCGAGGGCATGGCAGAGATTTGTTGTGGATACGGCGGCTTTGACCTGCCTGTTTGGTTTGTTCTTCATCGAGGGAGCTGGTTCTGAAGAGGGTGCATGAGGGTGTTGGTGATGGAGGTGAAGAATAGAAAGGCGCAGGTGCGCGGGTGGAGATGGAAATGCTCTATCCAGTCCGAGTAGTTTGTTGGGTACTAGCCAGACATTCAGAGCATGACGGGCGTAGAGGAAAGAGCCTAAACAGCCCAAAGACCCTGAATCCAACTATGCAAACACCCCCTCCGGGTGCCCCTAAGGGGATATGGGGGCGCTATTGGGGGGCAAACATCTGTCTTAGTAACCCTGGGGGAATCTTTAGGCCCTTTCTGGGCGCCAATGATTGCCGGACACAGGCGGTGCTACCCTGACGGAAGTCGCCATCCGCTTACCTAGCACGCCTCAGCACGCCTCGGAACCTGGTTCTGCTGTAACGAACAGGCCGAGCTAGCGGAGATCTGCTTAAGCGCCTCTGCCCCTCCGCACTTTCTTCGCTCATCGCATCCCATTTCCATCTCATCCCATCTTCGATCATCGCATTACTCCTCCCCTTGCAGCTTCATTTACGTACAGCCCTCGGCCACCACCACCCTGTCCATAAGGAAGCAAACATCAAGCTCGTCAGATTTCCTCGCCGTTCTTTTAATCCCACATCTCCCCCTCTACTCGTCCTCTTCTGCGACATCTTCCAGTACCTCTCGCGATGACAGTCACCTGATCTCCGGCATCGGCATGATTCCACAGACTCCTTCGCTGACTGTCCCTCCAGATAGTTCTGCTCAGCAGCTGTTGCAGCTCGGGAAGCCCTTCGTTGAGTTTCCCCGTTTCAGCATCCTCTCTCTACAGGCAGAGAAAGACCAGAACGGCAACCCCCTTCCCTTCTCTGAGTGGCTTACCAGACGCCTCCAACTAGGACAGCCTTTTGTCATTGCCGAATTCGACAAACTCGACACCTGGCCAGGCTCGGGTCCTCATAATGGCGACCAGCCGAGTTTCAGCATCGAAAGGCTGATCGAACTGAGCACCAAGAAAAACATTCCCATCCGCAATTGCAGTACTGGTCGGGATCTGTCATTCACGCTCAAGAAGTTTGCCGACAGCGCTAGGCAGTCGTTTCCCGAATTCCAGAACCTCTACGCCAGAGACTTACAATGTCCGCATGAATGGCTCGAACAATGTCGCCGGATCCTGCCCACAGAGGTTCAATGGGGTGGGCGATTGGATCTCTTCCAGTGGCTCCCACAGTGTGCGAGGAGTGAGGTCATGATGGCCTACGTTGGAAGCGAAGGGAGCAGCTCAGGGTTCCATCGATGCTTCTCGAGCACGGTCGCCTTGAACTTACTCGTCGAGTCGGACGACCGTCCTGTGGTGTGCATTGGCACTGACTTTGACTCGCAGAAGAAATATGACGCCTTCATATCTTCTCGTGGCGCGTCACCTCATTTAGACTGGCTAAACCTGGGGTCGGAGGAGCTCTTGAAAGCCGACTTCCCCCTGTATGCCTACGATCAACGAGTCGGCGACCTCGTCGTCTTCCCTCCTGCCACGGCCCACCAGATTTGGAATCCTGCCACGCTTTCGGCCAAGCTTGTCTGGAACATCCTACATCCGCTGTCACTTGAGGTGGGATTTGAATACGTCCAAGCACCTTTCAATCGCCTCTGCCATCCTGATGTGGCTCGAACCAGCCTCTCCCTGGCATGTGCTATGCTATCTCTGGTCCAGGACAACCAGACAGTGAGGAGCTCTCCACTTCCACTTCCGCCAGATCTACCTCTCCTCTCACGCTTGTTTCGTCAAATGGTCCATGACGAATCCATAATCGACTCTGATCCTGTCACACCAATGACTTTGGTGCCCATCCAGCAAGGGACAATTGCGACTTGTAACTTTTGCAGCACGGCTATCTGGAATCGGCACGTGCGATGTACTCAATGTGTCGATTTCGATCTCTGTCTCCTTTGTTATCTCAATGGCCGATCTTGCGATCACTCCCAATCCTACGCATGGGCAGAGCTGGTGTCGGCGGAACAATGCACGAGGGTTCTCAATCGGGCTCGGGAGATTCTAGGATTCCAGCCAGAAGAGCCGCGCACACTCGACAAGCGCAAGACCCTGGGGACGGCGGTCAATGATCTGATGCGCGCCAAAACCTCAACCACCAGTAGACTGTGCCATCTCTGCCGGATCGATCACCAAGAATGGAAAGGGCGGCGTTGCGACAAGTGTACTGCCTTTTTCTGTTATCGAGGCTTGTTCCGACATTTTGATGAGTATCCCTCGGAAGTTTTGCGGCACAAGGAGCTGTGGACTTGTCCCAAGTGCACAGAAACTTGCAACTGTCGATGCTGCCATTTTGTGACAGCGTACGTCAAAAGCGAAAAGCCTGCGAGTAAGCGAAGAGTGAAAGCTGCCGACCCTCGTGGGAAGGTCATGGGCTTCGCAGACAATGTGTTTGATCAAAAGCGTGGAGGGCGGCGAGAATCCAGCCACAGTGGCTTTGGGGCCGGACCTTTGCCCAGCGTCGCCCAGATCACAGGCAAGAAGCGGGCAATATCTACTTCGGCAGATTCTGGGCCAGCGACCCCGCTGAGAAAGATGGAGTTACCAACACCCGAACCTGACTTCTCCGGTAGCAGGCTGGCATTTTCGAGAGAAGGCTCCGAGTTTTTGACGGATGGGCCTTTCGGAGGCGTCAACGGGACACGGCCCGCACTGCTGCCGAGTATGAAGACATTCCCCGACATGGTCAGTCCCACCGATGAGAGGCATTCCCGAGTGAGTAGCTCGCCTGGCATTGCATCCCTTGCCTCGGCAGCGATCGGCTCGAGTCGTATAACATCTAACATGCAGAACAATACTCTTCCACCGATGCTTGGACATCCTCCTGCTACCAACGGCATGTACCTCCCACAGCACACTTCCAACGGCAGTTTTGGCACTCCATCGTCTTCCGCCCCAACTGCATCTCCTACAAAGACTGTTACCTGCTCTGACGAGACTGAAGCTCAAACTGCTGCGCTGGATGCGTCAATAGCAGAATTGGAAGCGCAGCTGGTCAAACTCAAAAAGTATGAGAGAGAGTTCATCGCTTTGGATCTTGACGATAGTCGGAAGATGCTAGCAAACCAAATGGCGGAGATAGAGGGCCAGATCAAGAGAAAGAAGTGGGAGAAGGGCCTCCTTCTTATTGAGAGATTGAAGAAGGAAGGATTTGGTGGCCTCGCGGCTGTGGTGCGCAAAGAAGTTGAGGTTGGGTCGATGCTCGGGGGCCTCCAGCACGATGGTTAAGGTGGCAGACATGTCCATGACTGCTTCACCACTCTGCGCGCTGGTTTTCGTCGACCATGCCACTGGGATGAGCCGGGTTTGGCAGGTCTCACAGGGTGAAGTTGGTGCTTTCATGCGTGGGGTCTGGTTATTCGGGATGATGAACTCTGTTATATACCCACGGAATGGATACTGTTGATAGGACAACGTACATGGCAAAAAATATCATGCACAGCTTGAAACATCAGTTTAAGGCCGAGGCTTTCAAAAACAGAAGAATAGCGATGAGCCCATATACCGTGAGTGGTACACCACGGTTAGCACGAATATAATAGCTTCTCCCGATCTGGTGAGAAACAAAAATACCCCATTCATATCAGTCGAGGTATCTGCGAGATCCTTGCGAGGCACGTACGTAGTAGGGTGTGGTGGGATCACGGGTGTTCTCTTTTGCTGTTGTTAGGATTGCGAATTATATATGTATGTATATGCTCTACGGCGTGGAAAGTGATTCGATGATCTGCACTGTGAATAGGGCAGGGCGATCTGGGGGGAAAGAGAAGGCGTGAACATGTCTCAAGGGAATGTGAATGTGGCACAAGGATCGTTGAAGTATACACTAACTATACACAAAATCTCCATCTATCCACGTGCTCGCTTAAAAATTCCACGACATGGCGCTGCGTTCTATTCGATAATCATGCAGATCCTGGCGAATCCTTTCCTCTTCTTCAGTGGCTTCTCGGCGTCGATAACCTCCTGCAAGCCCGTGTGCATGTCCACCTCCATCGGGTCCCACGCCCACTTGTCTCCCCAGAACACAATCCGATGCCCGACGTACATGACGAAGAAGATGGGGATTCCGATGTAAGCGGTCAAGAATGAAGACGCCGACCACTTGCTGGGGAAGAAAACGGTAAAGCCGTTGATGAGGCAGAGGATTGTGAATGCCACCATGGCGATATAGGCTCCCCAAGGTTGAAGCCAGTTGCTATATATGGGCTCGATCCCTTGCGCCTTGCAGGCCTTCCGAAAGCGGAGATAGACAATCATACAACATACCCAGCTCGTCATACCCCACGTGTTTGTGAGATTGACAAACCAGTTGAAGACCGTAGAGCCATTGGAGGCGACGTTGAGGTATGCAAGAGCGCAGAATAGGGACGAACAGCCGACCGCCATGTAAGGGACACCCCAGCGATTGCAGGCTTTGAAGATTCGCGGAGCGGAGCCTTGGACCGCAAGCGAATAAAGCGCGCGTGAGGAGATGTAGAGGAAGGAGTTGCCGGACGACCAGGCCGAGATAAGAATCACGGCGTTGACGATGGACGGGAGGGTGCCTATACCGGCGTTGGCGACAGCGACGACGAACGGCGAAGATTTGGCCCCAGCCCCGCCGTCAGTCAAGCGGGTGTCATCGCTGGGACAGGTCAGACCAATGGCCAAGACACTGAGGACGTAAAAGATCACCAGGCGGTAAAAATACCGCTTGGAGGCAAGGGGTAGGTTGCGTCGTGGTGATTCCATTTCCCCGCCCGTCACGACCAAGAGTTCGGGAGCAAAGGTGAAGGGGAAAACAGACAGGACCAAGGTTTCCCAGAAGGAGACAAAGCGGCCTGTGTCGCCTCCGACGATGTAGGGATGTGCTGCGCCAGGATCGTGCCAGTATCTAAAACCTAGACGATCATGGCTAGGTCCGCCACCCCAGAAGAGGATGAAACTGAGGATGAGGAGGCCAACCATCAAGATGACTTTGGTCCCGGCGAACCAGAATTCCGTCTCGCCATAGAATCTGACAGGGAGGAAGTTGAGAGCGATGATGACGACCAGCATGATTGTCATCCAGACGGCGATATTGACATTGTTGGGCCAGTAGTCGATGACCAGGCCGGCGGCGGTAATTTCGTACGGCACGAGGATACCCAGGGCGTACCAGTAGAGGTAGCCCAGCGCAAAGCCCATGGAGCGAGAAACGTATCGGTAGCCGTAATAAGACATGGTTCCACCGTGGACGGGGAGGTAGGCGGCCACTTCGGTGATGGCGGTAACGACGCAATATACCAGAAAGGTCATGATGACATAGGCCGCCAATATGAAGGCAGGACCACCGAGAGCAAGCGTTGCACCGGAACCGACGAAGAGACTGTTGGAGGTGGTAGAAGTCAGCCCACGACCTCTGTAGAGAGAGAATTGCCCGAAGTCCAACATACCCAGTACCAATAGTTCCGCCTAGAGCAATCATTTGAGCATGTCTGCTCTTGAGGCCACGGTGAGTGGTGGCATATCGTTCATCGAGCAAGTCGGCTGCAATAATTGACTCGACGACAGACGACTTTCGTCCCGTCAAGGAGGCATTGTGGCCCTTCTCATCGACGATACCTCGGCCTTTGACTGGTTCAATGCCCTTTTCAGGGTCGTACTCGACGTTGTCCGCCATAGCCACGTCAAGGTTCTTGCCTACCCGGCACTGAGGCTTCCGGTTGGTAAAGGTCTAAAGAAGCCCTTCTCACAAAGCGATGGCCTCTTGTTGCAGGGAGAAGCCAGAAGAGATGGAGGGGGAGAAGGGGAGAGAGGGCGGTGCATGGCCGGGGAGGAGGGTCTGGTCGACCTCTTTATAACTCGACAGGATCATCTGAGGTGGTAATAGCAGCAGAGGCATTTTGGTAGCAGTGCCAGGGATAAGGCTTCGAGCTGACTGCCCTGGAATGGATTAGGATCAAGACCCAACGCTCGTCTGTCAGTGGTTGTTGATAACGGAGAGTGGGAAGGGGAAGTCGAAGGCGAGGTGTAAGACTGCGCTCTGGCGTCTTGGCTGCAAATCCCCCCCAGTTGGTCTTTGCCTTGGCCACCCGCCGTCGACGCCCGTTCCCGCTACCATGCTCGTCGAGTCGTGTCTCCTGCACAGAATGTGGCAGAGCCCATTCTCTCCAACCTTCTCCCTCAATTGGGCCACCCGCTGGAGAAGAGACGGTATGCAATATCGTGCTTCAGGCGTTGAAGTGCGTTGGGGCTCTGACGATAAGCACGGCTGAAGGGCATTCTCGTCCGCCCTGCCTCTCCAGAGATCTGATCGACACCAGGCTTCCACCAGTCCTTCTTGTGCAGTCTTGCCTCCTCCCGCTAAAAGAGCTTGTGTACGGCTGTCTTGGCCTAATTGGAAACCTTCTAGTAGAAGCCACCACGTCGCAGCGGAATACCCTCGTATTTGCCATCGAGGCCTCTGGCCAGAGTATTGGTTGGGGTATTGACCCCGAGAATCCACCGTCGATGAGGTTGCATATTCCAGAAAACGTTCCTCTCGAAGCGAGATCCGAGTCGACCACGAGACTGCTGATGCTGCATTGGCACAGGGTTCCTTCTACCTCCCCTGCAGTTTCAGGGTCGCCACGTGCCCAAGACCACCCTGCTGGTAGCAGATTCCGCTGTGATGGACAGGCCGAGATAATTTTGGCACGCTCGCTATTGTGACCAGGAGCAAGCCGGTTCGTCCTTGGAGAAGCGTCGGCAGATGTGTGTGAGCAACCTAGAGAGACTGGTCTGATAGGCGAAGGACGTGATCCTGGAGTCACTATCTCAGGGACAGTGCCCGTGGCCATAGAGAAGTTGGCTCGATATCTCTATCACCCCACGGTTTCCGAACTCAAATGCGTTCCATTCTCAGACAAGAAATTGTCAGCATGTGCTGAGACAGCATTATCACCTCCTCCTTCCGTGTTGAGATCAGCAGCCTTGCAGATCGTGCCACGCTGCAATCTTCGGGGGCGGATATGGACATGTGCGTCACTGTTCTCGACCGTTTCAAAGAGTCAAAGCCTTCGAGATAACAGATTGTGGCTTGCATCGAGCGCTCAAATCCATCCTTCCAGACCCATCGCACCTTTTGCTTGGCCTTTCCCCGCGAGGACTGCGCGGTCAATTATCTGGGCACGAGTACGAGAGGTCGGATACGTGACAGGTCTCACCCATGGAAAGGATCATGGTCGGATAGCTGCGATAGAAAAGAAGATCGGCCGCTTCAAGCTCCATGCCTAGGGCTATTTGGGCCAATGAAAACCATTAATGCTGCGGCCCTCACCCGTCGACAAGAAGCTTTTGGCACCGGACAAGCCCGCTAGCTTTGGACCTTGTTGGCTCGTCAGGCTGTTCAACTGTTTCTTAATAGATGGAAGTGGTTTCATTGATTTCGGCTGCAAGGGCAAGATCGTTTCGTACCAAAGGGGGTAGCAAGATCACCAACCATGTTGACGGAAGGTGAGTGAACCGAAGTTCCTGGTTCCCAGCCCCAGAGTCAATATTGAGGCTGAAGTGCAGGATTGACAACACTTGGAGCCCCCATTGGAATCTGGGTTGTGCTTGGTTTAATGCTATGCATCGCCTCCAGTTCCTTCTTACATTCTGCGAAGCTGAGGAGAGTCCCCGGTCCATGGCTGTATGCATCAACAAGATTCAGGCTGGCTTTCGATGCCTGGCAGGCACGCTCTATACATACCGTGAACCAGCTACACCAAAAGTACGGACCCATTGTGCGAATTGGGCCAAATGAGGTCTCCTTCAATAGTCTGTCTGCGCTGCGGACGATATATGGTGCCGGCAGTGGCTTTGAGCGGACTTCCTTCTACCAAATGTTCGATGTTTATGGCCGCCCAAACCTCTTCACGTTTGCTTCAGGAAAGCAGCATCGCGAACGAAAAAAACTGATTAGCCACATCTACGCAAACCAGAGCGTGCTTGGATTTGATGCCGCACAGCTGGTCAAGCGGAAAGTGACAGGGTTTCTGACACTTTTGGAACGAGAGCCCGGCCTCGGGAAGGAGATCTTTACGAGTTTACATTACTTCTCCTTTGATGCCATATCCGAATTCGTGTATGGTCCGGATCATGGGGGAACGACTGCGTTATCGGGATCCAAACAGTCCCGAGAGCTGATTCAAGACATCCTCAACTCGGCTCGTAGGAGATTGGCATGGTTCACCGTTTACTTTCCTTCTTACACAAAGTGGATAACGACCCGCACAGGTCTGCTGGAGAGATTGCTGACTTCGACGGGCCTGATGCCTATGCGGAAACCTTTCACATATTCGGGAATCCGTCAGCATGCATTAAAGGCATTCTACAGTTTCAAAAATGCACCAGCTGCCGTGCAAGCAAAGGCTGCCGAAAGCACAGTTATTGGCCGCCTCTTCAAAGTGCGAGAAGCTGCGGATTTATCTGACTTGGACATTGCATCCGAATGCGCCGACCACCTCCTAGCCGGCATTGATACGACTTCAGATTCTCTCATGTTCATGATCTGGGCACTCTCGCTACCTCAACATAAGAAATACCAAGTCAAGCTGAGGGAGGAGCTGTCGCACATCTCCGTGGATAGCCAGGGGATTCCAGAGCCCAAGGACTTGACCCATTTACCCTACCTGAACGCGGTCGTACGAGAGTCTTTGCGGCTGTATGCTCCTTTACCTACCTTTGAGCCGCGGTCTTCGCCAGTCGATATGGTAATCGATGGCTATGAGATTCCTGCAGGCACCATCGTGGGTATGTCACCATATTGTCTACACAGGGACGAGACCGTCTATCCTTGTCCACTGGCCTTCAAGCCAGAAAGATGGCTCACATCTTCCGGCACACTGATCCCAGAATCAGACCTCAGGAATCGATATTTCTGGGCCTTTTCTAGTGGTGCACGAATGTGTATCGGGATGCATCTAGCTAACGCAGAAATGCTCACCTTGCTGGCTGCGTTGTATCGGAAGTACAAGACATCTGCAGAACATCCCGACACGTCGCCTGGTATCACAAGCCGCTTTGAAATTTTCTCCGACGAGACGATGCCCAAAATGGTGGAACATGAGTGTCTGATTGACTTTGTGAGGCTAGAGCCAGATGCTTGAAGGGAAACAGAAGATAAGAGGTTCGAAGTTTCATCGAACGTGAACGTGAAGCATATTCCTACGCGGGAGCAAATCTAAGCGCTCTTACTCTCGCAAAAGCCTCTAGGACCAAAGCAAAAGGGCTAAGACGCGGACCAGGCGAAACTCCAATACTCATGCGTGAAGCCGTGGTTATGCAAACCTATAAGACCCCTGGTTCTGCTAACTCAAGATTGTCCCTGAAGCCACGTCGCACAAGCGCGAAAAATCTGCCGAGAGCACGACAATTGGCATATTCAACTCGTACGTGGCAGATTGGAGGGTCTGGCAGACATGCTCCACAAGATTCTACCGCAACACCCTCGTGTGATCACGGAATTGTGACCCTACCTTAAATACCCTCTCGGAGAACGATTCACTTCTTGCATGAACACCTGTTTGCACATCTGTGAAGGGCTTTTGCTGACAGCCTAGTGATTGTGCCGTGCGTACCTGATCGCGAAGATGTGCGTGACTGAGATTTGGAGTTATCGCGAATGCGGATGTTTCTACAATCACGAGGTTCTGTGCCAGCCTTACCGAAGTGCTCAGACGCCGTGCCCTGCACTAATATCACAATGCCCTCCAGGAAAATGGCTCGAAGAGACTGCGGTGGTTCCAGGAACCTCTCGACTACTGTCAAGGCCACGAGGGATGCCCTTTGAACCTGGAGACTGCCCATTTCACCGAGTTGTTGAGAGGTCATTCCTCAATCAAATCTGCGAAGACTGCCTGCTGGCAGAACTCGGAAGCCTGCCAACCCGTCTCACTAGTATCACTGCTGGAGATGCCCAACCCGACCGGCCAGGCAATGGAGAAGGACTGATTTGGGATAGCGAGGTGAAGATCGAGATCGAGTTTCCAGGTTCTGGGTTCTCAGCAAGCCCACATGTGCCGGAAGCGTCAGTACGGGACCAGGAAGTATCGGATGATGACTGGAGGATTCTCGAAAGCCACGTCGAGGTCACCATCGAAGACGAGCATCAGGATATCATCACCGGAAGAGCTACCTCTCCAGAAATAGTAGCAGAACAACGAAACGATCAACCACAATCATCGTCAATACAGATCTCTCGCCCTTGCAGTCCCCGGGGTGAGGTTTGCCCTCCAAGTTCTGTAGGCTTCGCAAGCAAGAGATATGGGCGTGTCATCCAGAAAAATAAGACTGTCGGTTTTGATGGCGTGGATAGCGATAGTGGTGTCGACCTAGGGCGCTCACGTCGCGATCCTCCACCACTATTTCGGGGGAGGTCTTTGATGTGTTCGAATTTCCGCAACGCTCGAATATACGAGCCCGATGCAGACAGCAGTGCAATACCAACAAGAACAAGACTTGGTTTTGGAGACCTGCCGAAATTGCAAAGCCTAAAAGGCCTCTCGACGTCTTTGCGCATGGCACCGAGGTCATTTGCAGTGGCCCCAGGCAACTGTGGAAATTCACGAACGGGTTCAGCATCTTCATCAAGCTCTACAGGGACAACCTCTAAGAAACATTTCCAAAACAATCGCAACCGGAAAGATGCACCTCGTGCAGAAGAAACGAGTGAGACCATGTTGGTAGGGATTGAGCAACTTCCCGATGATGTCCAGGACATTCGAATCCGTGGAACGCAGGATACACTGGCCATTCCGCCTCGGAAGTCGAGTTTGAAGAATTTTGCCCTCTTTCTCATGGATGATTTCAGACGAACAAAGGCGACGGTGCAGCCGCGATCAGGCTGCCAATCAAGGAGCCTTACCCCTAGTCCAACTACCTCATGGTTGCGCCAACAAGCTGAATCCAGCGAAGAGACAACTTCAACCGCTCCCAGTTCAGTCTCGCATTCTGGAACTACTTTTGACTCTGCTCCCAGGACGAGCGGCGTGCATACGGATAGCGCAGAAGGTATGAGAGTCGAGAAAGGCTTCCTGATACCGAGCATCCCCAAATCGTCGACCATGAATACTATGCGAGCAATTATCGATGGATGCATCGACCTAGATGTGGCGATTAACAATCAGAAAGAGGCCGTCCGCCGTCCGCCGTCCGCCCCTTTTAGGCAAGGAGGAAGCTGGATATCAAGGTGGGTGGATAGGTGATCGTGGCAGATGTGAGATCCATACGCATGAGGATTCTCCACAACAAAAGCAGTTGTCTCAGTGGGAGCGTACTGAAGAGGGACCTTGGAGCACAGAGTCCGTCCAACATTTCCCACCACACTAGGACTGTTGTTTTGAGCCTTTTATACTGCTTGACCCGTCCTCTGGAGCTTTATCTCCGGATACCGACTGGCTGGTGCTTCGATCAGTAGTCGGAAGAGACGAGCGATTGAAGGGACTAAAATTCACGATGCGCTCAGCGACAAGAGATGTCTTGGATCAAGGGACAAAAAGGGCGAAGGGAAGGCGAAGGCTAGCGTAGCAATGTGTCTCGAAATGTTTGATTACACGTGTTCTAGACAGTCCTGGGGTTTCTGAGTCTGCTCCTACTCTTAACTATGAGAGCAAACGACTGCACATATGTATTGAGCGATCGATATTCGGCCTTCCGTGGAGGCTTGTCAGGGGTAAAGATCTTGATCGCATTCGTAGGTGTGGTTAGACTGACGTGAGTCACAGACAGCGCTGGCATGGCTGGCACGAGCAGCGACTCTCCGTGGACCATGCAAAGTGACAAAGATGATAAGAGATGAAACAAGCGTGCGCAAGGGGCCAGAATGTACGTGGTCAAATGAAAACGCCGCGGCCCTGGGAGAACAGGCCCAAAAGGGCCCGTCACGTGAGACCATCCCACTGTGTACGAAAGAGAAACATTTGGAGTTCGGTTGGTGGAGAGCGAGAATCGCAGGCCAAAATTATTGTTTCCTTGTTCAATTCACCACACAACTGACACCTAACATCCTTTTGGTCGACATCATAAAGCGATCGAGTGCTGTCTGACTGCTCAGGAGCTCTTGTTTTCAGAGTTTCTGTTTGATAAGGAGCCCACTGTCGACATCCCGCCGTTTCTCAATTTCCCGCTCGAAGTCAATCCCTCTGAAGATCGTCCCACGCGCGCAGGCGGACATTCCAATCCTCGATCAACACATATCACTGTCTCTTGCGAACAACCTCCCTCTCTTGCATGTCCTAGACCAGATCCTCCAAAATGTCTGTTCTCCCTGCCGAGGTGCAGGGAGCCTTGACCCAGCTCCTGCACGCCCTTTCATCGCCCGACAACACTCTCCGCAGTCAAGCGGAAGAGCAGCTCAACAATGACTGGACTCCCAACCGTCCCGAGGTGTTGTTGATGGGCTTGGCCGAACAACTCCAAGCCGCGCCAGACTCGTCGGTATGTCAAGATCTCAGAGGAGGTCTCAAGGTTAGAGAGTTGCTAAAATGCCCCGCTAGACACGTTCCTTCGCTGCAGTGTTGTTTCGCAAACAAGCCTCAAAACAACGCAAAATTCCCCCCAGCTCCGACTCTAGGGAATTGTTTTGGTCCCTCAGCGCCGAGGCTAAAACGGCCATTCGGTCAAAATTGCTGGAGGGTCTAGCAAGGGAACAAGTCAACCAAGTCAGGAATAAAATCGGAGATGCAATCGCAGAGATTGCACGACAATATGTGGATGCCGGTAGGGATCGATTGACTCTTGCTCCCTCTTTCTACCCTGGCTGACATACCATGGAGGCACGAACGAAAACTGGGTGGAACTACTGCATGCGCTGTTCCAAGCGAGCCAGTCAAGTGACGCCGGCATGCGTGAATGTTCATTCAGAATATTCTCCACGACGCCTGGCATAATTGAGAGAGAGCACGAAGGCGCCGTTCAGGAGGTCTTTCTCAAAGGCTTCAAGGACAGCAGTGTCGAGGTGAGACTACGGTACAACCGAGTTTGGACGACGAATATTGACTCGATCCAGGTCCGCCTCTCAGCAATCGAAGCATTTGCCTCGTTCTTTCATTCCGTCACCAAAAAGACCCAACCAAAGTACTATCCTTTGATACCAGAAATCCTCAACATTCTACCACCTCTCAAAGAAGCTGGAGACACCGACAATCTATCAAAGGCATTTGTTTCGCTTATTGAACTCGCCGAAATATGCCCCAAAATGTTCAAGGGTCTTTTCAACAATCTAGTCAAGTTTAGCATCTCAGTCATCCAAGAAAAAGAACTAGGCGATCAAACGCGGCAGAATGCTTTGGAGTTGATGGCTACTTTCGCCGAATGGGCGCCAGCCATGTGCAAGAAAGATCCCTCATATGTGAACGACATGGTTACGCAATGTCTTAGCTTGATGACTGACATTGGAATCGATGATGATGACGCCGCGGAGTGGAACGCGACCGAGGATCTTGATAATGAAGAAAACGACCTGAACCATGTCGCAGGCGAGCAGTGCATGGACCGTTTGGCTAACAAATTAGGAGGACAAGTGATGCTTCCTGCAACATTCACATGGCTCCCGAGAATGATGCATTCTTCATCGTGGAGAGATCGACACGCCGCTCTAATGGCCATTTCGGCAATTTCTGAGGGCTGTCGAGATCTTATGATCGGCGAATTGGACAAGGTCCTCGAACTGGTTGTGCCATCCTTGAGAGATCCTCATCCACGAGTGAGATTTGCTGGGTGCAATGCCCTAGGCCAGATGAGCACCGACTTTGCTGGGCCTATGCAGGAAAAGTATCACCAGGTGGTGTTGACAAACATCATTCCCGTCCTCGAAGCGCCCGAACCGCGAGTACAAGCACATGCAGCTGCGGCGCTGGTCAACTTCTGTGAAGAGGCGGAGAAGGCAATCTTGGAACCGTACCTGGATCAACTACTCGGACATCTCCTGCAGCTCTTGCAATCTCCAAAGCGGTACGTTCAGGAGCAAGCACTATCAACTATCGCCACGATCGCCGATTCGGCCGAGAGTGCCTTCGTTCGCTACTACGATACCTTGATGCCTCTTCTCTTCAACGTCCTGCAAGCCGAACAGTCGAAAGAGTATCGATTGCTCCGCGCCAAAGCCATGGAGTGCGCGACGCTCATCGCCCTGGCTGTGGGTAAGGAGAAGATGGGACAAGATGGCATCACGCTCGTCCAGATCCTCGGCAACATTCAGCAAAACATCACGGATGATGACGACCCACAGTCACAGTATCTTTTGCATTGCTGGGGACGTATGTGCAGGGTTCTAGCTTCTGATTTTGTCCCTTATCTTCCTGGAGTTATGCCCCCCTTGTTGGAGCTCGCCGCCGCCAAAGCAGATATCCAGCTGATAGACAGCGAAGATGAAGTGCTCGAAGAGGAGGGATGGGAGCTGGTGCCTTTGAAGGGAAAAGTCATCGGCATCAAGACGTCCACACTCGAGGATAAACACACGGCGATTGAACTCATCACTATCTACGCACAGATTCTGGAAGCAGATTTCGAGCCGTATGTGGCCGATATCACGGAACGAATCGCCCTGCCTGGATTGTCGTTCTTCTTCCACGATCCCGTTCGGGTGGCGTCTGCCAAATTGATCCCGCAGTTACTCAACTCGATCAAAAAGCGATACGGCGAGCAGTCGCCACAATTGAACGAAATCTGGACCAAGTGTTCCGAGAAGGAGATTGAAATCCTGAGTGCTGAACCTTCGATCGACACCTTGGCAGAAATGTTCCAATGTTTCTACGAGAGTGTCGAAGTGGTAGGCAAGGGCTGCTTGACGCAACACCACATGGAGCAATTCGTGCAATCGGTCAAGTCGACGCTGGAAGAGTTCCAGAAACGCGTCCAAGAGCGCGCTGAAGAAAAGGCCGAATCTGCTGCTGTCAATCAGGGCCCGGATGCCGATGAAGAAGATTCCTTGTCGGTACAGTACGCCATTGAGGACGACCAGACCCTCCTCTCCGACATGAACAAAGCCTTCCACACCATCTTTAAGAATATGGGCGTTGCATTCCTCCCAGCGTGGCAGCAGCTCATGCCCTTTTATGACGCGTTTGTCACCAACCCGGATCCTATGCAGCGACAGTGGGCTATCTGCATCTTTGACGATGTATTGGAGTTCTGCGGGTCACAGTCGTACCAGTTTTCTGACCACATCATACAACCCCTGATTAACGGCATGAGGGACGAAAATGCCAATAATCGACAAGCAGCCGCCTACGGGGTGGGCATCGCAGGACAAAAGGGTGGAGAGCAATGGAGCGACTTTGTGGCGGCGAGTATCGACACTCTGTTACAGATCACGCGGGTTCCCAACGCAAGGAGCGACGACGATGTTTTTGCAACAGAGAATGCTTGTGCTGCAATCGCAAAGATTCTGCACTTTAACGCAGCCAAGGTGGTCAATCCGCAGTCGGTCGTGGAGCAATGGCTCGACACGCTGCCTGTGGTCAATGACGAAGAAGCGGCCCCCTATGCGTACAGTTTTGTTGCGCAGTTGATTGATCAGTAAGTTACATGATCCCGCGAGTGAATTGGCCGAAATGTCTTGTTCGTGTCACTGACCTTGTCTCTGCAGACAAAACCCAGCAGTTTTTGCGAAAGCGGCCCAAGTTTTCCACCACATCGCGCTTGCTCTTGAAGCGGAGATGATCCAAGGTGCCACAGCGAAGAAGATTGTCGAGAGTGCCAAGGTGCTTGTTGGCAAGACGGGGATCAACGCCGAGCAGGTTCTGCAAGGCCTCAGCGAAGACGGGCAGCGGACCGTGAGGAGTTATTTTGCATAATGCGACAAGTCTGAGCTGGGAGAAGCGAATGAGATTGGAAAGACATGTGGAGGTTGTCTTCTGCTCTGCCGGCTTTCGCTCTGAGCGAGAAGAGGAGCGACACATGGGCCGACACCGAGTGTCAGAGGCAACATGGATGCGATGATCTGGAGGGGAGTGTGAGTGAGAGGAGGAGAGGGAATAGCACGACAGAGGGGGCAAGAAGAAGAAGAAGAAGAAGAAGAAGAAGAAGAAGAAGAAGAAGAAGAAGAAGAAGAAGAAGGAGAAGAAGAAGAACAGAATAAAAGAGGGAACGAAACAATGAATGAAACGCCAATCTCTCTCTCATGTTGCTGATGCTGCTGTTGATGGCTGATGGCTGTTTGCTGGTGCATATTAGAAAGTGGATGTGATATCAAAGTCGTTTTAGGCCTCTTGGCCCTTTTTCCCCTTCTCCCTTTCTTTCTTTCTGTGTCTCTCTCTCATCTTGTTCCATTCTGCGTCGATCATGCTGACCCAGGTTGGTCGGTCAGGTACAAGCAAAACTAGATTAAAAACAAAACACTAGTATTAGTATGTATATGAGATTGAGATCGAGACAAGTTGGCAACTTCACTAATGTCCCTGCACTCACTCACCGAGTGCCACTCATTTCCATCCGTATAACTCTTGTTCACTCATGTTCGCTCAAATTATGTATGTGATGTGTATGATGGATGCGTATGATGTATGCTCGGTATGCAGAAACCACACGTCCTAGTAAACAACGGACAAATGGGCCTCAAACTTGTAGACTTGTACATACTCACCCAGGGCCCCCTGGAGCCTTAGAGCCTCAGAGCCTCAGCCTCAGATAAGTAAGAATATGGATGCACAGGTGAAACCAGGTAAAAAAAAAATAAGTGTATATACAAGAAAACGCCATTCACCTCTTTCGGTTTCTTGACAATCATCGCCCTGGCGGCACGAGACTGGCTTTTTCCCCGTGCTTCGATCGATTTTGATATTCCCCCGCCCACCCAGTCCTTCGATTTGAATGAAGCATTGCTCAGATGAAAGCCTCCCTTCTGGTCGTTGTGAAATAAAAGCATGCCTCCCCTCCTCTCCTCCTCTCCTCCTCATCCTGGTCCACTTCCAAAGTCCTGGGGTATAATAAAAAGGCATCTCGTACCGTCAAAATCAAAAGAGTATTGTCATCCGTCGCACCCCAACAAATCATTCTATACCCAATATCACGCATTGTACCATGGCCATCGTGCACGGCAGCCAGCATCCCCTCCTGTGTGATTCGTCCCATGACCAGTTCGATCCCAAACCCGGTCAGGCACATCATAAGCTTTCAGGGCTCATCATGCTTGCATCGCCATCTCCATTCACACCATGCACTTTGTCGACACCATTAACCTGGGGCATCTCGCCGTTGACACCATCCATCATATCCAAAGCATCCACAGCCGGAGGTAGTGTGTTTCCTTCTTGATTCTTGTCATTATCCGGACCTTTGGGGGCCTCAGTCGTCGAAGTTTTCGCTTTCAGCACAGGCTTCTGTTTCTTCTCAGGGCTCCCATCCCCGCCGGGACCTGGTGATGACGGAGTGGCGTTTCCAATGCCATTGACCATTGGACTATCGTCAACCACCCCGTTGGCGACGACCGACTTTCTCTTGCCTTTGTCACCCGGTGTGGCGCTCCCCGCCGCACCTGTAGCAGCCTTTGCAGCATTCGCGGCATTCTTGTTAGCTGCCGCCTTTTTCTGGGGACTGTTGTTGTTCTTGAGCGTGCCCTCTCCAATCTTCCCGGACGCTGGAATTCGCGCCCTTCCATGGCCGGGCCTTTGCTTTGGTGGCAGTTCCAGATCCTCCACCAGGGGACGCTCGCCGTTATCGTGCAGGCGTTTCTTGAACCACTCCCTAATGATACCAATCTGTTCTTCCACATTCTCAATGGTGATCTTGGGCCAACGGGGCGGTTCCACGAACATCTTCTCCGCCGACTCTGCCGAGTTATCTTGTTGATTGCTGAGCCCGAGACGGTTCTGAAGAATGTGGAATGGTACTGTAAGACTGGCCATTCCGAACTCCTTGTCGAGTCCCAGTTCGCGGAAGCCGAAGAAGTCTTCATCGAGATCACCTGCAAAGTCTCCGCCGACGTACTGCTCTCCACCATCTGCAAATGATCCTTGTCCATGGGCGGTTTCGTCGGTCAATGCTGGTCGAAGGAGGTCGGCGAGATGTCCTTTCATTCGCTCATGCATCATGGTGAGTTTACTGGCCGCCCTATCGATATCTTCTCGTGCATACACATCCAGGTCATTAAGAGATATACCACCTGTGTGCAGAGAGTGGAGGATTGCCTCCTCCGTTGTATATGGAGGCTTGTACACCACCTTGCTATCCTCACCCTGGGCCGCGGGAACGGTAGTCGGCACGGGAATCTTATAGTCTTCTCTGTAGTTCACCAGGGTGGAGCACAGTCGTTGGAAAAAGTCTGCTGCCAGATCCGTCATCGCATCGATCGCTGACGGCTGAAACTCTTCGAACCCTGCGTGAAAGAAAATTTCCCCTATTGACCGTTGGAAGGCCGCCTTGCAGACCCACGGAGCCATGACAGGCCCATCATCGGACATGACATGGTTTGGAATATCTGCCTCGAGGAATGGTTCTGGTTGGTACTTCTGGAACTGGTTTTGATAAGTCTGCGACTGGAGTTGCATTTGCTTGACAACGCTGATCTTCGAAACCACCTTCCGAGTGTCTTGCATTTGTCGCATGTTGTTCTCGATCGTTTTAGCTAGCTTGCCGCGCGGAGCCACAAATTGCCCGGGAGGATACAGTCGGAGAAACTCCTCGGCGTGTTCGATGACATATCCTTCAGAGTCTTGGTCCCATCTCAGTCGGGGGTTGATGTCAGGTATGGCCGAGAGCGAATCGTAATAGTCAGGGAGCATATTCTCCTCCTCGACCTCCATTCCCTCGGCGAGGGTTTGACCATGAATTTCAACCCTGTTGTCCCGTTCAGATGCCTCAGCCCCAAGATCGGCAGCATCTTGGCCCGCAGCTTCTCGTTGCATACGCTGCCACCTGCGCATCCCAGCCTTACTTCGCAGTAATGCTGTCTCCTCAGCATTCAACTTGTCTCCACGGAAAAGCTTGTGTCGCGCGGCCGCGAGCATCGCGCGATCCTTCTTCGTCTTCTGTTTCCAGAGCTTGTATTCTTCGTCTTCATATTCAGGTATCAGTGCTGATGAAGGCAGTGCGGGTAAATCCAAATCCATTGCTTCGCTGCCGCCTCCTGCAACACTACCAGGCCCGGGCGCGCCGATAGGGGTCAAAAGTCCCGGTGGAGGCGTCGACTGGCCTTGACTCCCGTCGACCTCAGATTCCGCTCGGATGCCATTTTGAACGGAGCTCAGTGACTGTAACACAGGCTTCGTCTCTGGGATGGGTGTCGTTTCAGGCGGAGCTTTTCGCGCGGCTGCACCCCCTTTCTTTGCACTTTTCTTCGGTGCTTTACGTCCTCGCGATGACATGATGGGTTCATCGTCACTTTCCTCAGCGCCATCGTCGAGATCACCTTGTTGCCGCCTTTCTTCAGCCTCGACTTCTGCTCGGTCTCTGATGACGATATCCGGAATCAGAGGTACAAGCTTGTCAGTCTCTTTTTGCATGAAGAGAGCGTGCTTTCGGAATAGATGGTCAGGATTGCTATTGAACTTGAGGCAGTTCTTCCAAATCTGATTGAGGTCATCCACGAATTCCTTCTTGGACTTGTAAGCAAATTGCTTGAGTTTCTTGGTCATGGTACCAAGATCCATAGGATGCTTGATGACGAGGTAATAGTCAGGGGCATCCTTCTTTTTGACGGGGTTAAGGAATGGCGTCGAGTGCTCTGTATGAGCCTTCAACTCGGTCAAGACTTTCTCCGCAGCCTCGTAGAGTTCTTCCTGCCCGATTTTGTCTTCACTTGCCCATTTGCTCCGGTTCTTGCGCACCTCGCTCATCAGAGCGCGCAGCTCCGACTCAGTGGCATGGACTAAGTTGCGATGTTCATCTAGACGCGCAATGAGATTCTTAAGCGTCAGGCTTGATGCGCCGAGATTGGCCTTGCTCAGACTACCTTGCTGCATAGCAGCATTCTGTCGGTTAGCATGACCTTCTGCTTCTGCTTCGGCTCGGCGCTCTGCCTCGTCCAGGCGTTGCTGATCCAACATCGCATCTCTGTCATTTTCAAGCGTGAAGAACATTGTGCGCGACAGGGTTTTGACAGTCTCGATTTCCTTGCGCTTCGCCTCTTCCAGCTTCTTGCGAGCATCCTCGGCATCTTCCTTCTGTTTGTTCTGTCCCGTTTTGAGAGCGGTCTTTGCCGAGTCGGAGGGAATGCTTGGGGGCGGAGCGGGCCTTGGGGTCGGCGACGAGGTGGCGTCGGCGATGATATGCATCTTATTCGGGTTGTTTTTGACCGAGGACGCGTTGGCCGCATCGGCGTCCAATTGCTCGTCGTCGTCGTCATCGTCATAATCATCGTAGTCGTCGTCATCCAATTTGCGCTTTTTTGATATAGGAGCAGGGGGCGGAGCGGACGATGCAGCAGCATCGGGCGCAGATTGTAGGAGAGAAGCGGCAGCAAGAGTGCGCCTTTGAGGAACTACAACTTGTCCGACATCATTGAACAGTGTCGCAAGTTTGCTCTCGGCATCTTGGAAGAGTGCGCGAAACCGGACAATCTGGGGATCTTCGTCGATGCTGGGCTCTGGCTCCGCAGCTTGGCCGGACTGGGAACCGCTCCCCAGACTGCGCAATTTGAACGAACTCGGCGTGTGTGGTCTGGATGGCGCGCGGAGCAGACCATTGAGAGTATCTCTGTGTAGAGAGTGTAGAAGAGGTTCATCGTCTGGTGGTTTCTGACTGTTTGGGGGCGGCCATGATAGTGACATGGCCCTGCCAACCCCGACTGCGGCGAGGCGAGGGGCGTAACTCCTCCAGTTTGAAAAGGAAGCCTCAGCGCCGACGAGGCAATCGTGGGAATCGGCCAAAAATCGACGAGGCGGTACAGAGGGGTGCGTAGGCGCTCCCGCACATTAATTGAGAAGTATTTGCGCTGAATGGGTGGCGCTGGTGATAAAAATTGATGTCGACTGTTGATGCGATTACGCAGAGGCGAGGCTTGAGGTTGAAAGAAACGTTACAAACTGCGGTTGGGATTGAGTGAGGCAGCGGAGGCCCTAGGTGCCTTAGTGACTCCCGCCTGCCGAGCCACCGAGCCTAAGCTACTGGTACCTTGGGAACCTTAGGTGGTCACTGGGTGGTGCACCTGCTTCTCCAACTCCTCCTAGGCGACCTGGGCTCCTATGTTTCCGGTCACCTTCCAGGCCTCACTCGATTCCAGCCCAACAACGACTTCAACCAAAGCGCTCAATTTGATTTCTTTTGACGCATCACAACTTGCCTCTGTACTTTGCGCTGTTTCCCGCTGTCTAGCCATGTCCGAGTCTGCCTGAAGCTGGCATTCCGCCAGCCGAGTCCGACCAACCGCAGTCCCCGACATCGCATCCCTCGAGGTCCACCAGTTACCTGGCTGTCTTTCCACTGTCGACTGAATAGCAACCTCGACATAGACACCGTACCAACACAATGCGAATCCGCTTTCCCTTCGCAAGTATGCAGGCCTGACCACCTCTCACATTCTCTTGATACTAACGAGTCAACTATAGTAACCTTCGTCATCCTCCTGGTCTTCTCCTCCAGTCTCGGCCTGCTCCCACACTCATCCCTTCCATCCACGCCAGCCGCCGCGCAACCATACATCCCTTCGCAGTCCGACAAGGCCCTCCACTTTATATGCTTCTTCCTCCTCACTGGGACCTTTTACTTCATCCTTGACACCTCTCGGCGCCGCGTGATTCATCTGACGTTGATTGTATGCACATTACTCTTGGGCGTGGGGAGTGAAATCGCACAGGGACTTTTACCCAATGATCGTGAATTTGACGCTTGGGATGTCCTGGCAAATGTCGTGGGAAGTCTCGCAGCATTGTCGTTAGCGAGCGCCTACCATCGGCGAGCAGCTGAACGGAGGAGGAGAGCGAAATACTCTGCACTGACGGGTGACGGCCTGGAAGGTGAAGATCTAGAGCTTGGGGAGGGTGCAAATGGTACTCTACGCTCGCACGACGTAGACGGCGACGGAGGTCAAGAGACAGGCGTCGCACCAGCACGGACGGTGGAGGAAGAGCTAGACAACTGGGACGAAAACGCACCAGATGATGCCTGGGATGAAGACGACGATACGACCGCAACGAGCGGGCAGCACACGAAAGTGACGCCTTCAACGAGCTCTGTGGCGAGCGAGGAACCACCCACGAAAGTTGCAGTAGACTGACCAGGCAGGACGGAGGTGTCTAGTATATGTTAGGAACGGGATGAGACGACACGGGCTACATGAAATATTCAGCTGATTGAATCGAAACACAAATATATCCATGGAATGTACGACTATTGTCCTGCAACGCGCGTCTGGGCAGATGGCGATGATTTAGGCCTTTGTCAGAAATAGTAACGAAGAGAATCGACCGAAAATCATCGAATCACTCTTTCATGATGCAGAGAAGTATATACTACACTGTTTCTCGGGATTGACTGGTTGCTATTAGTAGCGAAGCAGACTACTCTCTGGCAATGCTTCGTTGGCCTTGCTGATCCTGCCTTTCGTAATCTCGATATTCGAGTCTTTGGAATACCTAACTACCCTCATACATTGCTGTGTTCGTTTCGCTTCATAAACATGATGGCCCAATCCCATAAGGACGTTGGCTGGTATTTGTTCTCGTCCTCCTTGAATGCTCCATCTCGCCATTGAAAGCCCACGTTGTTCCCCCACCGGTCTGCAGATCTAAGCCTGGCAATCATTCCCTGTCCCTGTCCATCGTGTCTCATGTTCTGCATGTCTTTTCAGGCAATTCGGTATGGCCTAGCGAAAACAGCTAAACCTCCCACAGCTGATCCGGAAGGGATTCCTCCTGACGCCGCGACGGCTAACAGTGACTCCACCGCCAGCGTGGCGACCGCCCCAGTTCCTAATCTCGTCGTTAGCCCTTGTTTGCATCGCAGTGAGGGAGTGTCGATCAGGATGACACTGGATCCCATAGACGATTTTTTTGAGAGAGGGTTGACTTACTTGGTGTAAAGGAAAGGCATGGTCGTTGGTCTTTTGTTCGTAGGGTTTGGCTGGGTAGGGAGATGGGCTAACGCCGCGGCGAGGTGTGTTGTTGTTTCGCGGTGTTCCTGATTGCAGAATGGTTTGGTAGTACGAGTAACTCACGAAGAGAATGTGTACTATTGGTACGGTCCAGATGCACGGGGAGGGCCAAGTGACAATAGAAGTGGATTGTGAAACGAGAGGTTACAGTGTAAGGGCCAGAAGATATCTTTCACTGGGGAAGTCGCAGCTGTTATATGCCAGTAAGTTAATAAGTACAACTTGCGGAGGTTGGAAGAGTTCTTGGTATGACGCTCTGCAACATTCAAGTGACTCGGCATAAGGGGGCGTTTTGCCAAGGACATCGACGTGCCAGTTTTGACTGAAAGCAGGCTTTTTGGCTTTGCAACATGTCGAGATTGATTCGAGATGAGAAGTCGAACAAGAACCTGCCAGCCTCCAAGCCACGCGCCGTGTTGGAACTTGAAGATCAAATGACGTAAATCGGCACTCAGCCTCGTCGTTCACGTGCCAGTCACGTGGATCGTAAACAACGCCGCTTTTAATGTAACTAGCAACAACCTCATCCCAAGTTGCTTTGCTGTCACCACTATGTCTCCATCTTCAAAACAAAGGAAATCACCCTGATACTTGTAAGTCCTGCTAAGATGGATCCAATACTCTAAGCGCTACCCTACTTCAAAGCGATCAGGCCAAGAGATGGTCAGCCTTAGAATATCCGACTTTCAGGCTTGGGACCCAACTACATGAAACGCGCTTCCCCTGGATTGCGCGAGGCTCTGCTACAAGATATCACACCACCTCAGCCTCCTGTCTGGCGACTCTGGTCGAATGGTTGCTGTGTCTGCTTCCGCATGCTCTGCTCCAGGACGGTCTCTATCACTGCTCTCACCACCAATGTGGCTCCTCAGTCCACTGCCCCCCGCCTCGTCAACCCCCCGTCTCAGGTGGTGGCTCAACGTGTATCAGATCGTCGTCGCTTGGCCAGAGACGAGAACTTCATATGTCGCCATTCCCTCCTTATCACACCACTGTTGGTCGTCGCCTATGGAAATAGTTAGGGCAAAAATCCTTATAGATCTTCTGGGCTATCTGCCAAACATGGAATATGAACATGCCGCAGGCTCGGTTTTTCTCTGTCTTCTCTTTTTGCATTGTCAACTTTTTGCTTCATTAAGCTAACACGACTTCGAAGACGCCGCTGGTCGGTCCATAGCATTTCTTTTCTTGCGTTTGACTGTCCGACTCATCACACAATATCCCAAAAAACTACTTGGACGTCGGCTGGCCCCGTTCAACAGCAGACTTAATCCCGCGATCAACTTGCCACGACGTCACACGGAGACCTTCAAGCCTTCAAACATCTCACCGGGGGCCCATATACATACTCAACAACGCACACGCCTGACTTGTCCACGTTGCCAATCATGGCGGAAAGATCAAGGTCAACACCATTAATGCGAATGCTCCTCTCAGGAGAGGTCAGTGGAGAAGAGCCTAGAGATTTGTCTCCCAAGGAGAAGTTCAATAGATGGATGGTCAATGAAGGATCTCGCCGCCTGTTCGTCGGTATCTTTATACTCGCGCACTGCATGTTGTACGGCTTCGGTTTTATGAATTACCAGCTCAAGGACAACCTAACCAAAGCCCGCGCCACCTTCGGCTACGGTTATCCTATTGCTCGATCTGCAGCCCTGGTGCTACATTTCGATGTCGCCTGCATTCTTCTACCGGTCTGTCGAACTCTCATATCGCTTGTTCGACAAACACCGCTCAACGGAATCATTCCCTTTGACAAGAACATTACGTTTCACAAACTCGTGGGCTTTTCGATTGTGTTCTTCACGTGGGTCCACACTATCGCTCATTTACACAACGTGGCACAACTCTCTGCAAAGAACAACGGAGGCTTCATCGGTTTTGTCAAACTCAACTTTCTCACAGGCCCCGGCTGGACCGGCTACATTCTCACAATCACCATCATGCTCATGTTTTTCACCGCCCTCGAAAAGCCTCGGCGGGCCAACTACGAGCGCTTCTGGAATACCCATCATCTATTTGTCATCTTCTTCATCTTCTGGTCGATCCACGGCGCTTTCTGCATGATCCCGGCCGATAACAAACCGTTCTGTTTCGGCAACGGCTCCTTCTATCTGTACTGGATGGTAGGGGGTTTTACTTACCTTGTGGAGCGGGTCCTACGCGAAATCCGTGGTTATCAGAAGACTTATATAACCAAGGTGATTGAGCACCCCTCGAACGTGGTCGAAATCCGGATCAAGAAAGAGCACACCAAAACCCGGGCAGGCCAGTACATCTTCCTGTGCTGTCCGGAGATCTCACTCTGGCAGTACCATCCATTTACGCTCACGTCTGCGCCCGAAGAAGACTACCTCTCTGTCCACATCCGCATGGTTGGCAATTTCACCAAAGCCCTTGGGAAAGTACTCGGATGTCAGGGTCTCAAAGCGATCGACGACAAGAAAGGCCCATACTCTGAAGATGTGTCTACAATTGACCAGAATGGTCAGAAGTTCACCAAACTTCTTCCGCGGCTGTACATCGACGGGCCCTTTGGATCAGCCTCGGAAGACGTCTTCAAGTTCGAGACCGTGCTCTTGATCGGCGCGGGTATTGGGGTGACGCCATTCGCCTCGATCCTCAAGTCTATTTGGTACCGCATGAGAGACGCGGGATCCTCTGCTCCGAGGACGCGACTGCGCAAGGTGTACTTTTTCTGGGTCTGCCGAGATTTCGGATCACTCGAGTGGTTCAAGTCTCTGCTCACGGCGATTGAGAACGAGGACAAGAGCCACGCCATTGAAATTCATGCGGTACGACCACGTTCTTTCCCCTCCCCCCTCTTATTGTCCCTCTGAACCCTCCACTAACACGTCCTTCAGTACTTGACCGCCAAAATCACCGCTGCACAAGCATCCAACATCGTCCTGAATTCCGGAGATACCGACGCCATCACGGGCCTCCGCACCGCGACCAACTACGGCCGCCCGAACTGGGACATGGTGTTTCGCGGCATCCGCAAGATCCACTGGCCGGGCGAGTGCGGCGTCTTCTTCTGCGGTCCAAAGGGCCTCGGGGCGGACCTGCACGTCAAATGTAACATGTACACCGAGGCGGGGGATAAAGGGTTCAGTTTTGTTTGGGGCAAGGAGAATTTTTAGACGGTGACAGACAAGTCGATGTATGGCTACGGCTATGAGTATGTATTATTATGTGCCTGCGTGCCTGTCTGTGTGCCTGTCTCTTTTTCTGTTTCTTGTTCATGTCGTGAATCCCCATGGCGTCTTGTCCTTTACACTTCGTGCCCTTGTCGATCAACATACAACATAACATAGCATCTGTCCCCCAGGAGTTCTTCTCTTCGAGATACAGACAGGCAGATCCGGTGCGGTAGACCTCGACATTCGATGTGAAGTGAGGCGAGATGATGTACTCACGACGCGAGAGCACGGCAATGGAGAATTTCTACTCAAAGACTTCATTTCCTCCCTTCATCCCTCCTTAAATTCCCCTGCTCAGGAGACCCTCTTCTATCAGCCTCGTGTGTACCGAGTACTCTGGTCGGTACCCACACCGGACACTACATAGCCACGATGGCTCGATAAGACTATAAACACGGTAGCCTTTATTCCACCGTTTACCACTGAAGCAGCAGCAGTTACAGACGTTAAACCGCAGCTCGGGCATTCCGATTCCCACAACTTCGCCAGAAAAAGCAATGCCAGTCAGATTACTGTAAATACTGTAACTCGTCAAGCATTATTTCATTCATACACATATACCCAGTGCTGGGAGGGCCAGGGCCAGGGGGTCAGAGAAAATCAACATGGTCCTCGCCGGCACTGGCATTAGCATCACCACTATCACCAGCAATATCTTCCACCACGAGACCTTGTATACAGTCATCATCTGTCCGCTCGGCTCAAACTTCTAAGCACTCCCCCAAGATCTCTTGGAGGGCTGGTCCCCATTCTTACTCCCAGCGCTTTCTTCGTCCCTTCTTTTTCTCGCCGGGTCAATTTCTCGGCACACATGGCCAAAGCTCTTCCTGCCACGCCGTCTGCTGCGGTTCGATACTGCGCTATCCTGTGGATTCCGTCTGCGAATTTGTCGACTGTCGGGCCCATCGATTCCAAAATGTCACCTAGGCGCCGTGATATTTGATCCGTGGTTGGCGAGACCTGGGGAGCTATTGAGTCCAGGGCAGTTGCATCCGCCTCGTCCAGGAGTGTTCTGGCTAATTGATCTGCTTGCGATGGGCTTGTTGGCACGTCAAGTTCATGCAAGCTGGGTATCTTGGGAGGTCGTAGTAAGTTCTCCAGTGCCTCTTTTTCGGATCGCAAGCTGCCATCACCATTAGTATCGTGTCCACAACGTCTGCTAGCTCGCATGTCTCACCGTTTAATCTGCTCCTCCAATTCGGCAATCTTCTCAATGTTCTGCGTGTTCTTGGGATTCGGCCGTTCTGGAAGTGGTTCCGATGGCACGGGTACTTCTTCGCGGCCAAACCAGTCCGACAGATCGGATCTGTTCGCCAGCTCTTTCAGCAATTCTTCTTCGATCACTCGAGCTGTCAAAAAAGTTAGCATGGCAGACGAATTCGAGCGATTTCAGGGTTGCAAACCTGCTTGTATTGCGCTGGCCTCCCCAAATCCCGCACCTAATGGCTTTTCGTCAAGAGCACGCTCGGCGCACCAGATGAGAAGTTGTTTCATTCGTCTAGGCTCCGGGAGACCCTCGCTTTCTATGTGCTTGTAATAGTCCGATACATCCAGTTCGGGATGAGGCAAGGCTTCATGGAGAGTTAGTAAATGCTGACTACTGAGCTGGAAATGCTCACCACTGGAGTTCCCTGAGTCGATGAGGGAACTCGCCCTTCGCCCGCGCATGCCCAAGCTACTCCTTCTTTCGCCCTTGCCGGCTTTGCCTTCTCGCATGGCTTTATTTCGTTTGATGACTGGCGTGTCCGCAAAAGGTAGCGCAATCTTGGTCGAAGCATGTACCTGTTGTTCTGTAGAAGCACTATCCTCTTGTGGGTGTTCTTGTCGCTTCGGAGGAGGTGGTTCGTCCACCTTCTTCTCTGGCGACAGTTTGGGGGGATCTTTAACATTATATTTGCGCTTCTTCGTTTCCTCCCTGCGCTCGCTTTTCTCGACAGGGTTTCTGTCTTGTTGTTCGTTATCTTTGGATAAGCGCTTTGAGCGACGCCGGGGGGGATCTTCCTTGGGAACGGGTGGTGGGAATGAGGTTCGATCCTTTTGTTGTAAGGGCTTTCGCTTCGTCTCTTCATTCTTTGCACTTTGGGTCCTGTCACCCACCGGTTGAGGTATAGGCGCAGCGCCCTGGGGTGGTGAGCCATCTCTCCCTTTCTCTGTTTGTTTCCGTGGAGGCGGCTTCTTTTTGACGCGTTTAAACTGAAACCCATCATCCTCCTCGTCATAATCTAAGAGTCAATGTTAGTCCTTCTGCTCGCATTTCGCCTGGGTCTCTCCCGTTGTACACATACCCATTTTTCTTTTCTTCTCATTACGGGCTGTGGCTGCTTGCGCAGCTACCGTATCGGAGGCGCCAACAGTTGTCTTCGCATTTCGGTTCCCTTGTTCCTGATTTGAATAGACTGTCGCGTCATCTTTCTGGTGATTTCGCGCGCTTAACCTTCGAGTCGGCCTTTGGATCGATGACATTGGCAGAGTATGTAGCGGATGACGCGCAATTAGCATTGTGATTTGAGGGTTGGAGGTGGGCGAGGGAGTCGGATCCCGCGTTTGTTGGTGGATTGAGTCGCATGCGCAGGCGCGGAGTTGAGTCGGAGGTTAAAATCTAGGGGATTTCATTATAACGATATCTCTGCTAAAGAGCGATCGGACCGCAGCGCATTCGAGGAGGGGTGGGCGTGGTAATTGGCGTGAAAATGGGATTGAAGGTGGTGTTCAGCACTGAAGCGGCTTGCATCGCGGGCTTCTTGGATTGTTTACAGTCTGGGGCCGAGCCCGCCAATCACAGTTTAGCCGCCGCTTTTACGCTCCGATTGTACCAGTCTCCTGCGCTCGCTCCCTCTTCGACTTTTGACTTGCACTGCAGGCTCCTTTGATCAACAGCGACTCAGGATCTGTGCGAAACGGTCTCTTCTCGTGTTCCATCTACCTAGCTTCCATTTGCTACATACTCGTAGTCACAGTCTCAACGATGACCTTCAATTCACCTCCGATGAACACAGCCTCCATCGTTCGTTCAGAAACCTCTGCACCGTCACAGACTTTGCGACATACAACCTGACCTTTTCGTTTGGATTAAGAGTCTCGGAAAGACATATTTGACCAAGATCCTGACCGGCAGAGACCACTGTGGAAGAGACCAGTTGCACCTCCCGACTCCAGTCATCGGGCGATAACCTGCCCTGTACATGGAGGCGCAGGAGTTGTGCGTGCAGACAGGCCTGGGTAACGGCTGAGGCTGGGTGAGGCCTCTGACCAGCAGCGGCATCCCCGAGCAGCATGACTTTTCCACCTCTAAAGGTATTCTCGAGCGCTAGAGAATCTGTGATCACTTGAACAAACGGGTTTCTGGTCTTGGCCACCGCTTCCGCAAATTGTGGCGAGAGTTCACTCTGCGCTTGTGCCCTCATCTCGTCAGCTAACCGCGTACACATGCCACCAGGTGGCAGTGTGAAACAGTGCCTGACGCTGTTCACGTCTGTCATTAACTCTGCCAGTTCTTCGTCCGTCTTCTTCATGTACCAACCCCAGTTGACTAACTTGTGGGAGTCTGGAGGGCCGACTTTGCTGGCTGGAACGGTGTAGGAGAGCATTTGGGAGTTTTGGTTGAAGCAGAACGTGGCAGACAAGTCCATGACATGCTTCGCGTCAACTGAGATATCCTCAACCGGTACGAGTCCCCGGAACAGCACGTATCCGGCATAGGTGCGCCTCGTCTCCGGGAGCATAATGTCCCGCACCCTGGATGAAGCCCCGTCTGCGCCGACAACGAGATCCGCGAGCAAGGTCTCCTCCTTGCCAGCATCATTCACGAGATGGATCTGTGCTCTGTCGTCGCACTCGGTCACATCCCGTACGTTGCAGGAATAGCGATATGTGGTCGAAGCTGTCTCGTCACCACTCCTCTCTGTAAATGCGAGCATTAACACGCGGAATAGTTGAGTCCAGGTGGTCGCGCAATTGTTGACGATGTCTCTGTGAATGATTATTCTGCCTTCCAAGTCGAGAATATTCAACGAGTTGATCGGAATGCCGTAACAACTCATGGGTGCATTTGCAAATCTCTGGAGAAATTCTCCGACCTCGTCCCCAATGCGAATTCCAGCTCCCTGGTCTTGTAATTGGCTCGACTGTTGACGTTCTAAGACGGTGATCGAACCAATTTCAGGGAGGGTCTTCAGCGCAACACCGACGCAGAGGCCTGCAATGGATCCTCCTACCTGCGATTATGAAAGTGATTAGACGCCATTCATGACTTCTAGGAACAAGGAATCTGGGGCCTGGCCCTGAGGTTTGAGTACAGGGTTTGACTTACGATCACCACATTGAGACGACGCGGCACACTCATGTTCATGAATCGGCCGGCCGTGTCACAAATGAACAGACACTTCTCGGAGCGAGCTGAGGGCTACCTAGCTTTTAAGCCTTGGAAGTATAGATGTGGTGAGGCCCTGGCTGATACCCTGGCAGGCCTGGTTACTGAAATTCATAACACGTCGAAATAGAATGTCTCAACTGTCGTATTCAGATACGAGGCAGAATCTAGGCCTCCAATTGAACAGCAATGTGAGCAAAGAATCAGGCTATTCAATCCTCGCTAGGGTGGAGTACCCGTAGAACACACCAGTTGAGATGACCCATGCATGGATTATACGATGAATGCGCTCTTCATCCCACCCTAGCCCGATTTCTTTCAGCCTCGCCCTTCGTATGCGCCCAGAGCTGATCGTATATCCATCCCACAAAATACGGTTATCCTTCAGCGGCTTTCCATGTCACAGATGCTTTTATCTATAGTTATTTAAAGGGGAGTTTAGACTACTGATCGTCGAACAGTATCTTTCATGGCTTCGGCGGCTGATAGACTGTATCGAGATCCTTTTGTTCAGCAGACTCCTTCCCTGCTGGGTTATCGACAGAAGAGTCTGCTGCATCTTTTGAGGGTTCCGCCGTACTGGCCACGGGGGCCGAGAGGTCTGGCGAATCCTCTTTCGATGGTTCCTCAGCTGTCTTGGAATGCGCAGGTCTTGAATCCGAGTCGGTGGCCTTCTCGAGGTTAATGTTCGCGGCTGGCGGAGGTGTTGATCTGCCTTTGTTGGACGGACTCAGGAGAATGTCATCAAAGGTTGGTGACCTGGTGATCTTTGCGCTGTCTCGCTCGAGTATTTGGGGTGGTACCGCTTGACCGACTCTGGGTTGATTGCGCCTGACGCCGGGGTCAGAATCTTCAGATCCCTCATCTGCCCCGAAAAGAAGGCTTGTCTTTTTGATCGTTCTGGAGAAATTCGTGTTAGCTCCAAAAAAAGCACGATACAGCATCGAGGAAGGTCGAGACTCACTCTTGAATGGAACCCATTGCTGTCGTCGGCGAGGGAAGGGATTCCCACACCGACGAATACCAAGGTTTTTGGCTTGACCTTCTTTGTCCTTGTCCCCTCTCCGAGAGACCTACTAGAGGTTGCTGGGCCTCTCTCGGCAAACCAGGGCCTCGTCCTGCCCCATCGCTTCGGTATGCCGGTGCCCGGCTGTAATACTGCGGTTCGTCATAATCCTCGATGTTCAGACTCTCGAGGGCTCCCGCGGCGACGCTCGAGTACATGTCCGGTTCGGGGTTTGACGGGGCGGCGGCGTATTCAGGCCGGGGGTGAGCCGTGCTGCGCACAATGGACCGGACGACCCACGGATTCGGTCTTCCCGGCTGGTACCGCGAGGGACCGAACACCTTTTCCAGTTCGATCCGGACGCGGACACGCGAAGGGTGCTGGGTGGCGGAACTGGTGTGTTCGAACCGCAGCAATGCGTTGCCAATGTGTCTCAGGCAGCTCTGGATGGTTGAGTCGCCGGGCCGTGCGTTGGCGCTCGTCCCATCGCGGGATCCGGTCGCGTTGAGGGCGGGTGGATGATTTCTCCGAGCTTCCTCGTTTGCGCGGAGCATGTTTCCTAGCAGCGTCCTTTGAGAGGCGTTGTCGTCATCGCCGTCGTGTTCCTTTGACGGGGTCTCCTTCCTACACACACAAACAATTAGTTAAATGATTGGTTTTCTTCCTTCACGGGTTCTCTTGGTTTGTCAGAGATACACGGGGGCGCGGGTAGAAAACATACTCGTCCGTCGAATCCCCCGCGTTCAACAAGTCACTAAGCATCATTAGGAGCGTGCTCTTGATCCGGTCCAGGTTTCCGCCGAGGTGGTCTATTTCTCATTTGTTAGAAAAGAAAAGTCATTGGAGCTTGTGGCCCAGACAGAGAGAGAGTCGGTCGGAGTGGGATTAGCTAAACTTACCCATTTCCCTGATCACGGCTCCCTTTGACGACGACGAGCTCTCCACGGCTCTCGCGACCAGGGCGTCCATATCCCTAAACAAGGTTCCGCACTCGACCACGATCTCCTTGGCTATCTTCAACGTCGCGTCCGAGTCCGAGTCCGCGTCGGCGTCGGCGTTGGAGTCCAGCTTGGCCTTGCCATTATCATGACTTTGGTGATTATCGTCATGATCATGATCCTGGGGTTTCAGGTTCGCGCGTAGTTCCGCCAACACCGAGCATGTCAGCGACACATCTCGGGCAAGGTCTCTAGCCGTATACGAGGCGGAGGATGCGATTGTAGAAGAAGATGAGGAGGAGGATGAGGCCGAGGAGGCCGAGGGAGTGGTAGTGATAGCGACCGTCTCGGAAAAGGTGTACAGCGCGATGGACAGCCTGGTGCCGACGCCGGCGACTCGGGCGATGGTGTCAACGAGGTCGACTTGAGCCATTTTGTTTCGCTCTTTTTCTCTCTCCCTATATCTCGCCGATTCTCGATTCCTTACAACAGAGACGCAGAGATGCTCAGACGTTGAGATGATGACGGCGGTGATGAAGATGATGATCCTCCGAAAAGAAAAATAAGATTGCCTCTCCGGCTGACGGCCTGACACACTGTTCTTCTGAGCCCCTTTAACCGTCCGCTAGTCCCCTGTAAATGATACCTCGTCCTGGACCTCGAATAAAGAAATGGCCACGGTTCACACAGACAGACATACGCCCCTCGTACAAGAACCTACGAGTATGTATGTGATATAACCCGGGATAGGTATCTACCTGGCGAGCTGGGTACCAGGGCTATTTATACTGTAAGCTGAAATCCTGTACTAGTGCACTACTTGTACTAACTGCTACTGTACTAACCCTGAACGCCCTGGTCTGTTCCAAACAAAGCTGACTAAAGAAGAAAAAAACGGCCCCCGCAAACTATTTTCGGTCTCCGGGAGACAGTTACGAGCTAGCGAGTAGGTGCCTGGAACACTCTACCAAGTAACGAGTACCTCGTACCTTCCCGGTCATCGCACAGAACGAGGTAATAATATGGATAAGAGAGTCTTCGTGAGTGCTCATCGATAAAGAAACGCCCCTCCGAGGCAAACCCCCCGAGGGTTCGCAGTTGAACATTGAGATTTCCTTGGTCACCTGGCGATCCAGAATATTTTCCTTTGACGTTCTACATGGAATAACAGGAAAGGAAGGAAGATGAAAAACAGAGATACTCTGCAAAGAGTCTTTTAGTGCACCGTCTTGACCGTCGAGGATAACATCCTTTGCAATCTGGTCGAGGGATTGAGATACTACTGAATCATGTGCGACGGCGAGCGAGCATTGCGGAGACAAATTTTTCCGGTCCATGAATCGAGAGAGTGGGAACATTACTTTTTCCGTTGCCGAAAATGTGGCTGTGCTTGGCGTGGCTGTGGCGCCTCAGGCACACACACGAAGGCTGTGCTCGCAGCTTGTTGATCGCACATTGGATGAAGCCCAGGAGAGATGATGTCACGGAAGACGCCCGGTGCCGGGCCCTGGCAAGCGGAAAGAGTCAAGATAGTACTGTGTATATGTGGGTGTATAGTGCAACGGCCAAATTTCCCTAACAAAAGAACCACAAAATTCTGGCATCCCCTGGTGGTAGTTTCTCTTCTCACATACTGAGCACTGAGAGATCCAATAAACTCGTTTAGACCTTTCGCTTTCTCTTCAGCTTCATGCCAGATGACCAAGGCAAGGCATACTCGCTGGTATCGTCACCTCGTCATGCTCTTATCAACGTATATAAGTTTCTCTCAAGACGCGGGGGATTCCTGCCCTTTGATCCAGATCAAATTTCACTACCTTGACATTCTTCACTTCACTTGATCTTCTGTTCAGAGACATCATGTCTTTAGAGCCAACGTTGGGCGAGCGAAGACGACATCACTCATCCCGGATCCAGGGACCTCCTCCATTAACCACCCAACAGAAGCCTCATCAATGGCCACTAGAGCGCCCAAAGAACAAGACTCGGGTGTTGACTACGCGTGCAGGAAAGCTCTGGTATGTCAAGAGTGCTGAGGGCGTCATCGATCCCCGGAACGAGGCTTACAAGGCCATCTTCAAATCCGTCGCTGGATACGACAAACTCCCTCTGCCAAGGTCGCATCAAGTCATGTACACAAGCCTGAATTTGCGCAAGTACCTGGATCGAACCCACTGCCTGATGCTGCTTCACGCGCTGTCCAAGCAGAGAGTCAAAATATGGTTACAAATTGGGAATAGTCCCAAGTCCAACGTCCACGTTGACCAGGCCACCGTCCTGATCCTTTCCATTGCCTTGCGCTCTAGGTCAGGGAAAAAAGCCGATCTTGTCGGTGAGCTGATTGGTCTGGCCCACCCGAGAACGCTGGAGTATCTTGCCAGATACATCCGGCCACCACTGTGTGACGCCTCAATCATCGCCAGCCTCGTCAACGCCACGGTGCGACAGTACACGCAACCCCGCCGCGCCAACAATGGGGAATTCGGCTCGTTTCAACTCTTCAGACTCGTTCCCCCGATCATCGCAGATCTCCTCATGAAACTCGATCAGAGCACCACCACCAACTTCCTGAAAGGAGTCTTGACCAGACTGATCACCAGTCACCCAAACGAGCACAAAGAGCGAGGCATGAAACTTGGGCTCCTCCTAGTCGGGATTCGCAAAGCGCTCCGTCGATTGCTGGAAAACGACAAGAAGAACCGCTCGCGCTTCGAGTTATTGGTCGACTGTGTCTTTGGACTCTTGTCCAGTGCAGGCCCCTTGGGCGTGGGCGGTGCGCTGACAGTCGTCCAGCTTCTCGTCAAGGAGGTTTGGAAAGCAAAGGGGGACCGCAGGGAGAGGAAGCTCAGGGAACTCTGGGAGGGCATAGTCTCGCAGGCGGATATCCTGATTGAGAAGAATCTGGCGAGCGATAAATACCAGATTCTCAATTTCCACACCTGCAGATCCTGGATGAGGAAAGTGGACACTGAATGGTTTATCTGAGCGGAAGGAGGAGGGGAGTTTGCTGCTACTGCTACTGCTACTTGTACTGGTGCGTGTGTTGCGCCTGCTCATGTCTCTAGACTAGACCATCTGTGACTTCGGCGTTGATATGTATGGTATTTGATTATTTTTACGCGACAGATGATACCCCTGGCGGTGGCCCCTTTTACGCGCATTTGAACAGGGGGCTTTCTTTTTACACATTATTTTAAAAAAAAACCTCGTCATGCTCTTTGATAGTCCATTGTGTCACCGCGCCAGGGGCGATAGACTACGATGGCGACGGAAAGATGAGATGTCGGTCTACGAAATGCTCCCTGGAGATCGGTACACGCAGATTCTGCGAGCAGGTAGGTAGGCATCTGCGAGGTACAGAGTGTCCGTACATCACTCGAGGAGACTGGATGCGTCTGGTGGTGGTGGGGTTACCCACTGCTCGTACTTGTGCATAGTACATAGTGATGCAGCTACATGGCTAGGTATTGGGCATGGACATGCATACATACATACATACATACACAACCCTTCCCACACGCCTCCGATCATATATTCCCCAGTTCCAGCAGCCCCAGACCCAGCCCCAATCCCGTTCTCCCCATCTTTTACCTCCCTCTTCCTATCCCTCTCCCTCTCCCTCTGCCTCAGGCTCTACAATCAACCAGGATCTTGACATGCTTGTCCTTGTCCTCGATCAGCGGTCGGAACCCGTCCTCGGCCACGCGATCGATTTTGATCTTGCTCGTGATCATTTTTTGTGGTTGCAAAGAGTTGTCAGCGAGAGCGTTGATGACTCCCGCAAAGTCGGATTGGAGGTAGCCCAGGACTAGCGTAGAGCAGATCAGTCATAGAATGGTTGCGTAGATGGACATCACGACACAGTGAATGGATGGATGGGATGAAATGCTCGGTTTCAGACCAGCTAGTAAGTCTGCGAATAGCCTCCTCGAATGAAAAAAGGAGAATGAATTCAAAAGGTATGAAGTGGGAATGATATGACTTACTCGCAAAGTATTTCTTCTCTCCAAAGACAAGGGTGTTGGGTTGGAACGGCACCTATCACTCCCCCCCGAAATCAGCCTCGTCACAACTCTTCCTACCTCCTTCCTTGCTGTCTCCCACCCCTCCACCGCTGTCGTGGCGGCTCCTTGCACTTGAAGGCGACAACGCAGGGAGATACATACCTCTTTTTCCCAGATCGCCAGGTTCACAATCGTGCCGCGCGCCCTCACCGCCAACGCCGCATCCCTCAAACTGGCCGGCACGCCCGCCGCGTCCAACGCGACATGCGGTCCCTGACCGTTTGTGATTTCTTTGCTCCTCTTGACCACGTCCTCGGACCTCGGATCGATCACATGCGTCGCGCCAAAGGCCCGGGCAAAGTTCTGCCGCTCCTTTGCTATCTCGACCACGATGATGGTGCCCGCGCCGCGGGCCTTGAGGCATTGGATGACCCCGAGACCGATGGGGCCGGCACCCATGACGAGCGCTGCGTCGCCTTTTTTCAAAGGGTACTACGTACATAGATTTCGCATCAGCATCACACACGACTCCTTGAACAAAAGACCACGCAAACCTCATTCGTCTTCTTCTCAAAAAGTGTCTGTGAAGGACCTTATTCTTACCTGGTCAACCGCGTGCCACGCCACAGCCAACGGTTCCACGAGTGCACCCACGTCCAAGCCGACATGGTCCGGCAACTTGAACACAAACTGGGCATCGACACAGACATAGTCGCTCATTCCGCCTCCGCCGCCGCTCAGCCCCACAAACCCGGCCGAGTCGCAGCAGTTGATGTAGCCATCGTGGCAAGGGCCGCAGTGGAAACAGGCCAGGGTGGGCTGCACGGCGACCTTATCCCCGACCTTGAGGGTCTGGCCCTGGAAGTTTGGGTGGGACGCCGCCGAACTGCCGATTTCGACAATCTCACCGGAGAATTCGTGGCCGATGGCGACGGGCATCACCTCTTTTGTCAAGGGGTGGGGAGTGTTGGGTTGTGGGATGAATGTCGGCGACGAGTATTCGTGTACTATAAAGGGGAGATAGTGAGTTGAAGTGGTTCATTCAGACTGACTGTCCTTCCTAGACCACATGTGTTGCCCATTTAGAGTGATGATATAGCTAGCCAGCTAGCTCGACTCACTCCAATGCAATCTCGAGCCAGAGGACAAGGACGTAAAGGACGAGGAACAACTCACAATCCGTTCCACAGATCCCACAAAAAGCAGCTGCCAAAACGCGCAATCACAATCCATCAGCTTTTCATCGTCCAGAGACTGCGAAATACAAGACAACAAGACGATTGACTCCCTGCTAGATGGTCCATGGTCCATGATCCATGATCCATGACCCATGAACCGACCCGTCCAGGATGATGCGTAGACTCACGCTTGACCTTGATCTGGTTCTCGCCGCATTTCGGTTCGGGAATGTCGTTGTCGACGCGGAGGTCTTTGACGCCGTGGTATCGGAGGGCGCGCATGGTGCTTGATTGCGTCGCCGGAGTCCTTTGGTTTGGTGCACGATGTAGTGGAGTGATCACAAGACGAGGCACAATGAGCTATAAGAGATGCCAACAGAAGGTCTGTATATCCTTGGATGGACCAGTCCAATCCAGTCTACTGAGTCCCGAGTACAGCGTCCAACGAAAGAGGTACAGTATGTACTCGTTCTTGTACTTGTTTTTGTAGGTGCAATATGAACCCCAGCTTCATTCAGTGCCTGTGCAAGGTAAACACGGTCAAACGGAGGGCCAGCATCCACAGCCTCGCAAACATGGAGAGAGGAGCTCCAACCAGACTCGGTATTGGTCCAATAATCAGTGTTGTCTGGTGCTGCCCTCATGAGGAACTTGTGAGGGGAAAGCAAACCTTGGGCGCAGTTTGAGCGTGCATCCTCGCTAGCCACAGTTCAGCCACAGCCAAGCCTTGGCTTTAGCCACAGTCACTAGCCACATGTTTACATTCCTCATCCAAAGTACTTGTGCAGGGAGTGGCTGTACGACCTTCTCCGCCTGCGCCAATGCGCCGTGGCATCTTAGAAAAGTGGAAACATTCAACAAAGACTCTTCTTCGTCCACATTGATGATCCTTCAATGCAGATCCGGGGAAGAAAACCCTAACCACGTCTCACTCAACCCCTCTTATGGACATTAATTAAGCACTCTATCAGCTTTTGATCTCTGTGCAATAGTACTATCCCCCCTCAGCCTCCAAAAACTGAAGCCCTCACAAACGCGCTCGCTAAAGGATTGAAAGTGCTGTTGGCCACGAGCCAACACGCTCAAAAAACATAAATCGTCAAGCCCACTTCCGCATATCGTCATTCCACTCCGTTGACCATTCTGACATGATTCAAAACCAAGTCATCCTTCCATCATCCATGACCATGAAACTGTCACCAATATTCTTCTTTTCGTATCCATGATGCTTTTCTGCTTTTCCAGTCCCCTTGAGACGCAAAACTCTGTCCAATTTATTACAGTATTGGGACGAATCGGCAACGGCAATCAAGTCTTGAACTAGACCAGCACCTTGAAAATCGCCAAGAGGACAGCCGCAAAGACACCAGTGGTCATCTGTTGAGAGACACCCATGGCAGCACCACCGGTGGCAGAGGAGTCGGATCCAGAAGCCGATGCGGTAGCGGACTCAGAGGCAGTGTCGGTCGCAGAAGCGGTCTCTGACGAGGCAGGAGCAGAAGAGGTGGAAGTGACTGAAGCAGAAGCAGCAGATGTTTGCGCAATGGCTTCGGCGGTGGCATTGCGAGTACCACATTGCTCATTGGTTTTGCATGCAGACTGTGCCTGGGCGTCGTTGGGATTGTTGTTGACGCACTGGATGTAGGTCTCTTGACAGATGTAGAATGGAAGAGTCTCAGAAAAGGCAGTGCAGTCAGGCACAGTTCCGTTGGCGCAAACGCAGGTGTAGGTGAATGTGGTCTAGAGACAAATGTAAGCTGTGGATCGCTTGAGGATGTTGCGGCGTTTATCGTACCTGATCACACTGGTTTTGAGAAGCAGACCCACCACAGATCTGGGGACAAGTGTTCAGCTGAGCATGGCACCAGTTGACTAGGTTCAAAAATCAGTATGTTCCCCATAGAGACGAAAATTGTGGGGACCTCTCTCTTACACGCAGTCGTGGAATCAATTCCAGCAGGGTTGAAGGCAGCAGTAGCCACCGCAGGCATCACTTGCGATACAGTGGTAGAGGCTGCGACCGAGGATGCACTCGAGGTGACAATGGTCTGCGCGTGGGCGACAGCAGCCAGAGAAGCTGCAAGGAGGATCTGGTACTGCATGGTGGAGGTGGTGAAGGTAGTGCGGGCTGGACTCTTCTGTCTATGCAGAGTGTCAAATTGATGCTCAAAGTACTACGTTGGTAGAGTTGGACTGATGGATGTATGAAGTAGAGTATGTGGAGGAAAAAAGCAGACACTGAGAGAGAGAGAGACAGAGAGCAGTGAGAGATGGGTGAGAAGGTGTGGGTTGGTACTCGGTGAAGTGGGAGGTGGAGGGCAGAATTCACACACACTGACAGCTGGGTGGAAAGAAGGACCCGTTTGTCGGGATAAGAGCTCACCTTTATCAGTCTTTGAGGGTGGTGACGGCGAGATGGAGTCTCTCCAAGATGCTTTTCGGTTGCTATGGAATTTTCAAGGGCGACCAAGATAGAGGCTGGGAGAGGATGGTGGTGGCTTTTTTATTCCATTGCGCGTTCACTGACTCTGGCTGCACTTTTCCACCATTCACTTTTGTTAGCTCCCAGGAGCGCCGGTATCAAGTCCATGGCGATGCCGCTATCTGGTCACCCACTTTGCTGGATTAGGGACTAGCTAGTACCTGGAAGCCCCTAGAGGCACCGACAGAGACCTATTAACCCAAAACGACAGGGTGCCAGACTGGGGAGCTCGCCCGCTTGGACCACCCATTCGTCACTCTGCTGCAATTCTAAAACACATTAAGGGCCGCGCCAATCACCAGGGCAGCGCATCGCCGGCGCCCCTCACCCTCCAACTCCACTGCGACAATCTTGGAGCACCCCTAGTTGGTGCCCAGACCCAAACAGTTCTAGGCATCGGACACCCCAAGCAAGAAAATCCGCCGCCAAAAACCCGCCACTCACAAAGCAAGATGCAGTTAGCCGTATCTTGTCCGCGATGCAGCGCCTCCTACTGGTCACACCTACCGAGCAGGCCGAGGCACAAGCTCGGACCCCCATGGCCCGTGGCCGTGGTCTTGGAGAGATACAAACCGAAAAAAAGTTATACAATTACAACTGCGGTCTGCGTCCAGCCGCTCTGTTCAATCTGCTATAGCGACTTGGGTACTTAATGTGTGACAGGTAACACGACTGGCCACCATGTCAGAACAACATGGAAAGACGGACTTTATGGCCGACTTCATCGGCAGCCACTCCATCTCAGAAGACGACCGGCGGTACTTTGCATCTATTGAATGGACGAATAAATACCTGGCCGATCCTCTCTACAAGGCCATCCCTACGTTTTCGCGCACTCTAAAAGACACGGGTGAAGATTACTTCTTTGCTCGTACCATCAACTCGCCTGACACTATTCCTCACCTCCTCTCTCTGCAGTTGAAGGACTATCCCAACCCTCCAGAAAGCCCCAAGGGACAATTAAAATTGAGAACAAACCACAGCGAGCCCACCGAAGTACCTCAGCACCCCGAATGCGTCGTTCTGTTGTCGATCGGTCGCCCGGGGCTCGATGGCCATCCGGAAGTCATACACGGCGGCATGGCCTGCGCCATTCTTGACGAGATGATGGGACTTTGTGCGATGCTACACCAACAACACCTTCCAGGGCCACGAGGTGCGCTTTTCACCGTCGGTCTGAATATAACCTACCGTGCGCCTGTACCCACGCCGGGAGACGTGCTCGTAAGGAGCTGGCTCGTAGGAAAAGAAGGTCGCAAGTGGCTATCGAGGGGTCAAATAGTAGACAAAAATGGCAAGGTTTTGACCGAGGCCGAGGGCATGTGGGTGCTCACAAAGAGACAAGAGAAGTTATAATCTGTCACTGGTCGCCGCCGAGCAGGTCCTTTACCCGTCGATTCGAGCTGGTGGCGGCCTTGATCTTGAGCAGGGCAATTGAGTACCTTAAGCACATATCCCCTCGGCAATCTGGACAAGCTGTGACCGATTACGGTCAGTGGCCTGAGGCTACGCACTCCACCATCATCAATTGTTATCGCTGGCGAGATTGGATAGTCAGCTCGGGAAATTATGGAGAAGCAGTGGAGATGGACGCCACCAGATAGAGGCGCACAAGCTTTGGCGAGACTTGCCACATGCAGATGTCGCTGGGGTCTTGATGATGCTGGGGATTTGTTAGAACAAGCACCGGACGGCATGGAGAGGAAAGATTTATTCATGGACTGTCGCAAAGCCAAATAAATATAGAACCCAGCGATAGATGTTTCTAGACAAATAGAAAGATTTCAGCTATTAGCTAGCCACAGGGAGGTTGGCATCTATGTCTTCCGTAGGATCTATGTTGCTTCGAGGATTCGTGGCTGAAACGGTTCATGCACAAATTAAAGCTTCATCGCGACCTCGCATTTTGTTGTGTGTAGAAAGTGCTGACCAAGTGACCAGAAGACAAACCAAGCACGAGCACGCCTTGCCTTGTCCTTCGCAAATAATAATAATACTCCTAATCCCCCTCTATCACCGACGCCAACCACACTGCAACGCCCTGAATTTAATTGCTCAAGAAATACGTCGCCGCGACGGGCGTGCCCAGCTTCGCCCGCTTTTCAAACCGCGACAGATCCCACCTCATGCGGTCCCTGATCCCAAAGCCACCCGCTTTCGTGAACGTGCGTGCGTCAAAGTCGGGTGGTTGGGCGTAGAGCAGGAAGATGTAGCGGTGCGGGCTGCTGATTGGGGGAGGGCCGGGCCCTGCCCAGAATGCGATGGCGGGGTCCGGCGAGGTTAGCTGGCCAGCAGCAGCGGGACAAACGCCATCGGCACTGCTTGATCCTCCGATGACGAGACCAGTCTGGAGCCAGTGCAGGATGGGACTCAGCGGCGCGAACGAGGGAAAAGGTGCGTCGAGGTCGAGGCTGAGGACGACGAATTTCTGGTCTGGGCTTGCTGTGTCCCACTCAAGTGTTGGGAGTCCTTGAGCTTCTTTCCAAGGGGTTGTAAGTTAGCGAAATAGACGAGAAAAGAGAAGGACCACCAAGATGACGGGTATTGTTTGGATGGACCATGACCTGAGAAACAGGGACACTGATGTGAAAAAGTCAACTCACCTCCCTTGGGGATCTTGTCGCCCGGTTTCACGACGCGCGAGCCAAAGGCCAATTGAAGGGGTTTCGATCCGTCCTTTTCAACCAGTGACACCACAGTCTTGAAAATCTGATGGTCTGGCATGGCTGGCTAGGGATCACGCAGGCCAAGTGACGCTGATGGACAAGAAGGTTGAATGTCGACGGTCCAGGTTCTCCTTTCTTCCTCAAGAGGGTGGAGGAAGAACACCGAACCGAATCCTTTGGATGCCGCGATGAGGCAGTGAACAGGCAGCAATTTGAGACATTTCTCCGGTCGACAAGGGACTGCGTGAATTATAGCGAGAGGCAGAACCTGATTGCTCCGTCGTCCCTGGATTGATCGCCGTGGGGTTATGGTCGTCCTGTACCGGCCCGGTTTTTGGTGGCCGGTGCCCGACACCGGGCCACGTCGAGTCTGCAACGGGCGAAGAGGAAAACTAGGCCGACGACCCTTACAAAACAGGTGGCATATTCCAGGTGAGGATAATGATTTATGTCTCGCTGATGCCGATATCTATTCAAGCAGATATTATCGCTTATATGCGTCCATCCCATGCACACCGATAGAGACTCGTCACAGCTCGATCCAGAGACTTATCAGCATCGGTACCCGAATTTTAACGAAAAAGGTGGACGGCTCTCAATGTTCAACTAGCGGCCTACTTCATTCATCCAGGTTGACCTCCATATAGAGCAGCGTGCGGGATATCAATACTCGGTCAACACGGGTTTCGGGCTTGGAAACAGATAGGCGCCTCCTCGATTGGCCTTTTCCACCATGACGACCAAAGAAGCGGACACTGCTGTTAGTGACACGAACGGCGAAGCGAAAGCGAATTGTTTTTCTAACAGCGAAGATGTCACCGACACCACAAACTCCCCCGCTCAAGGAGCGTCTGAACCACCACCACCACCACTGGAGCTGAAGGAGAGCGACGACGTCGAAGCACAACCCCCAACTCTAACTCGCGCCAAAACCAACGAGCACAAAGCGTACAGCGCCTTCTCCGACCGCGCCAAATGGTTCATTGTGACCATGACGGCCATGGCGTCCTTCTTCTCCCCGCTGTCCAGCCAGATCTACTACCCGGTCCTCCCGATTCTGACGAAGACATACAATCTCTCCCAAAGCCTGATCAACGTCTCCATCACCACGTACATGATCTTCCAGGGGCTGGCGCCCAGCTTCATGGGCACCTTCTCCGACGCGAGTGGGCGACGGCTGGGGTACATCATCGCCTTCACCATCTACACGGCCGCGAATATTGGGTTGGCGCTGCAGGACAGCTATGCCGCGTTACTCGTCCTGCGGTGCCTGCAGAGCGCGGGCAGCAGTGGCACGGTCGCTTTCGGATACGGCGTCATTGCCGACATCGTCACCACGGCCGAACGGGGAAAGTACATCGGTCCCATGGCGGCTGGTGTCTTGACGGCACCGGCATTGGGCCCCACCATAGGCGGCCTTCTGACGCAGTTCCTAGGATGGAGAGCCGTCTTCTGGTTCCTCACTATTGTCAGTGGCGGATATTTGGTCCTGTACATCGTCTTCATGCCCGAAACGCACCGCAAGATCGTGGACGACGGGAGCATCGTGCCGTATCAGTGGTGGCGCCAGTCGGTCGTCCAGTACATGGCCGGCCGGCGGAGGCTGAAGAGGATGAGCGCCGAAGAGAGACGCGACTATGAGCGGACGCATCATGATCTGGCAGAGCGGCAGCGAGACGCGAAGATCCGGTTCCCCAACCCGCTGGGGTCCTTTGTCATTCTCACCAACCCGGACGCGTTCTGTATCATCATGTACACCGGGATCATGATGTTCAGTAATCTGGTTCTGATGACGAGTACACCGACCGTGTTCCCCAGGCTATACGGACTCAACGAGCTTGAGGTCGGGTTATGTTTCTTGTGAGTGGTCATCTTTCCCCTTTTTCCCTCCTTATTCTTTCTTCCATCTTTTTGTTCGAAGCTCAAAACTGACCAAGCGTGTAGACCGCTCGGCGTTGCCGCCGCCGTCGGCTCGTTCTGCAACGGCCGCCTCCTCGACTGGAACTACCGGCGCACGGCGCACAGGCTGGGCGTCACCGTGGACCGCAAGCGCGGCGACGACCTGCGGAACTTCCCCATCGAGCGCGCCCGCCTGCAGGCCGTCTTCTTCACACAGATCCTGCAAGTCGCGGCACTGCTCCCCTACGGCTGGGCGCTGGAGCACCACGCCTCTCTCGCCGTCCCGCTCGTCCTGCAGTTCATCCTGGGCTTCTGCCTCGTCGTCGCCTCCAACTCGCTCAGCACCCTCCTCTCCGACATCTATCCGGACAGCGTCTCCACCGCGTCCGCCGCCGCCAACCTCGTCCGCTGCGGCCTCGGCGCCGTAGGTGCCGCCGTCGTCAACGACATGCTCACCGGGCTGGGTCTCGGCTGGTGTTTCTTCCTCGCCGCTATGCTCATAGCCGCTGCGACGGTGTTCCTCTGGGCCGAGGCCAGATGGGGCATGGAGTGGCGGCAGCAGCGGTGGAGGAGGGTGGAAGAGAAGAAGAAACAGGAGCAAGAGCAAGAGAATGAGAAGAAGAACCTAGCCAAGAAGCAAACCGAGAGGCAAAACGAGAAAGAGGACACGCCTCGAGTGTGAGCGAGTTGATCCTCTTCCCTTAGTCGAATAGGATCGGTGGCCGGTCATACATTTATTTCGGTACGATGGCCAAAGACAAGAAAGACTGCTAGTGGAAAACGGGGTTATATACATCCATATACATATATATATACACATGCATTCTATATACCCCGAACTGTACTTTATCCATTACTATTTTCGTTTAGGAAAGGGCGTCGACGCACTAGGGAGACACAAGTAATCCTGAAACTTAGGGGTAGGATCGTGAGCGAAGTTGACGACGAAGTAAAGATATAAAATAATCATCGTTACATAGAGCCATCTCCCTTGATCCCACTCGGTGTCATCAATGGTCGAGCCTCATCGAACACGCTGACTACACTGATAACCTCGAGTCTTGAGGTGACCCAGTCTCGCCTGTCCTGGACCAGTTACGGGACCCTTGCTCCTTGTCCTCTTGATTCGTTCTTCCTTCGCTCCGCGTTTCTCCCTCCTTGAGCTCCATCGTCGTCACATGGAGGTCAGGTCGCAACAACTTTATTATTATACTTGATACGTAATTATCAGCACAATACAGAAGAAAAGTCTCAAGTCAGCTTCTCCCCGGGGCCGGGGTAAAGTCGTTGACTCATTTATTCTGTATTATATTTGAAACAAGTTTGCATGCAGCAACCAATTGTTCGTCCTGGTGATGCTTGCCTGTCAGCTGGAGAGCGAGTGGAGCTTCGGCGAATCTCTCAGGAGTGTCTGTATGATGGAGATTAGCCGTCTGGTTGCGCAACACTGAAGGTGTGAATCTGACATTTGGAAAACTCCTTCTTCTCTACGTCCGACCGTGGGGTGAATTTCTCAAAGGGCTTGTCCAGGTCTTGATCGACAGTCAAGCCAGTTGGGAATGTGATTGCGGGCTGGTCTAGGAGATTCCACACAGTTGTGTAGGCCCAGTAGTGAAATGTTCCCAACTCTGCCGGAGGACCTGGGTATGCAGCCGACAGAATGACATCGACCCCGCGTTCTTTCATTAGACGATGGTATCTGCGCGGTGAGGATTGTAAGTACAGCACCAGTGCGAAGAGGCCAATATACTTACGTTGCTCGATACCCCTCCCGCTTATCGTTCAGAGCCCAGTTGTCTCTGACCGTCATGGGCTCTTGCACGGCGAAATCAAAGGCAAATTGTGTCAGGGCCACGATTGGCTCTCCTCCATCAGCGAGCATTTCTTTCTGTGACTGCCCTGCATCGGCGAAGAAGAGCTTTTTTGCGACATCCACGATCGTTGAATGCTCAAATGGCTCGAAATCTACCACCTTTACCCCGGCATTTTGGAGTTGTGAGACCACTGTTCGGAGCGCACGAAGCATCGGTGGGTGGAGTCGACATGTACTAAAGCATCAGAGATATCTCAGTAAAACGGTACAATAATAATTTGCCCCCATGGTAAAGCTTAACGTCACTTACCCGTCTTCCCAGATGACACCCACAGTGAGATCATTGACACTCGGTGGCGCCACGTTCTTCCATGGAAGAGGTACCAAACTGGTTTCTTCGTCCCATGGTTCACTGCCCAAGACCACGCTCTCAAACAAGTTGATGTCTTCAAGGCTGTTTGCCAAAGGTCCAGCGATGCATCGAATACTTTCCTGTCCGTCAGGCTGGAAGAAAATCCCTTTGTAGGGATTTCGTAGCGCGGTCGTGCGCAGACCGTACGCTCCGCAAAACGCGGCCGGCACACGGACAGAGCCTCCAATATCTGTTCCTAGACCAATCACTGAGCAGTGCGTGCCGACGGCGATGCCTTCACCACCACTAGACCCTCCGGGTGTGAGGTTTCGATTATAGGGATTGACCGATACTCCATAGATAGGATTGTCGGTTTCGCCGGACTGTTCAGATCCGGTTAGTTTCCGACATTTCACTCAAAGGATCATATGCACTCTGAAGTTCTTGATGTACCATTAAAATCTGAGGCTCATTTGTTCTGACGTGGAGCACCGCGCCTGCGTCACGGAGTATTCTCAAGATCAAGGCGTCTTCGCTTGGAATGTGGTCAATGAAGCAGACGTAGGCAGAATGGCACACCTTGCCCTTGAAACCAAAGTGCTCCTTCACCGAGATCGGTACACCATGGAGTGGTCCAACTAGCTTGCCCGTGGCTTCGAAATGTTTGTCGAGCTTTGCGGCCTGCTCAAGTGCCTCTTTGACCAAAAACTCGGTCGCAAAGTTGCATAGCTGGTGAACGATGTGGCCGCGTTTGAGGAAGGCGATGACTACCTCAGTAGCAGTCATTTCGCCAATCCCCATTCTCTTTGTGAGACCTTCTGCTGTCAACTTGGTGATGGCCGTCTCGCGATCCGTTAGCTTCCCACACGTGTCAGGAAACATCATGATATTTGTTGTGGATTGAGGAGGTAATTGTGCTTGTGGAAGAAGCCATTCCTGGTTCAGGGAGTCCGTGAGAATCTTGCGGCATATCTCAGCCTTGGTTTCCCATGAATTGGTCATTTTTGTCGGTCGTTATGCTTGAGAGGCCAGATGGTGAATCTTAGTGAATGATTGTCAAGGTTGTGCGAGTTCTTCCTTTTTACATATAGTTCCATATATGGGGTCAACATAGCGTATACTGTCCATTTCCATATTGGCCGGTCGAGTGGCACAGGATGAGCCTATCAGAGTCATGAAACTTGAGACTAAGCTAATTAGATCTGCGGGGATTTCTCACATTCGTTCCGGTTTATCACGTTTGTCCCGGCTTATCGACAAGGCTATTGCATCTTATCACATTTATCCCGGCTTATCGGAAGTTTATCCCATTCCCTCCGGCTTATCGACAGCCTTTTGTATTTGTCCCGGTCTGCTATACCTCGTAAGTTCTATCGCAATTATCCCGGCTTATCGACTTCGCCTTGGCATGGCTCGACTACGTGCCGATCTTTCTTCGAGTCGGATTGCTATTGGAGACGCCGCCGCCAGAAAGGCCAGATTGGATCTAACTACATTTGCCTCGCCTGCAAGACAGGCACGGGTGAGATACATCTCGAATCAATGTGTAGAGCCAACCACATTTCCTCGGAAACATGAGCGGTGGCTCACACTAGACCATCACGTCGTCTACGGCGGACAAGTTCACGGACGTCCAACCGTTAGGGGAGATGGAAATACGAATACAGTTGCGAAGGCTGGCCCAACTATAAAAAGGGAGCACAATCCATCTCGTCTTGAGCGCACGTCTGTTCAGCATTTGCCACAATCAGTTATTATTTACTGCTGATCAAGAAAACTTACTCACGACCCGCATAACCTTTGGTATCAAGAGTGCAAGATGGCTGACGCTGAGCGCGAATTTATTCCTGGCACGGTTCATCTGGTCGACCTGGAACGGACGCTTTTGCTTAAGCATGCCTCCGGGAAAAAGCAAGACGTTATATTGAATCCAGCCCCTTCGGCGGATCCTGAGGACCCTTTGAACTGGAGCCCGCGACGAAAAATGCTGTCAACAATTTGTATGGCTATGTAAGTGTTCAAAGCTTCCCGTCTTTTAGCATTCGGCGAGCCTGTTCTCTAACACTTTGGCCATTACGCAACAGCTACACCTTCGTGATCGCCTACACGAGCGCTGCCATCTATTCGATCTTGCAACCCCTCGCCGACGCAAGAGGCTTGACACTGGCTGATCTCAATGCTGGAACTGGATACATGTTCCTTGCTTACGGCTGGGGGTGTTTGATCTTTCAGCCATTGGCCATCCAATACGGCAAACGCCCCGTATATGTGATCACGATGCTCATCTCGGTGGTAAGCATGTCAACTCGGCTCTTCCATCAGGCCTTAGTGACCCTCATATGTAGGGGATCATGTTTTGGGCTCCTTACACAAAATCCAACGGAGAATACATCGCCAACAAGGTTTTACAAGGGTTCATTGGTAGCCCAGTGGAAAGTCTAGGAGAAGTCAGTGTGGCAGACATTGTAAGTTCCCCTTGCGAAGGAGCTTGCAAAGAATTGCCACTACATTGTCGTCGGTTCCAATGTTTAACTCTCCCAAGTACTTTACACACCAGCGCGGAACATATATGGCGGTTTATGCACTTGCACTCACTGGAGCAAGCTTCTTTGCACCCATCGTCGCAGGCTTCATCAACGATGGACAAGGGTGGGAATGGGTCATGGTAAGTACTAACATGACTATCTAGCCCCATCAGCGCCCGATAATTCATCAGCTGATCATGGACCTGACAGTACTGGTGTGGAATCCTCTGCCTAGCGGCATTCATCTTCCTCTACCTCTTCATGGAAGAGACAAACTATCAACGTTTGACGGTCATGACAGCAAGTGAGATGGTATCCCCGAACTCGGTGGACCCTGTCTCCGACCCTACCACGGCTGAACTCCCGGACAATCCCAAAAAACCGCAGGTCAATGACACAACGGCGGTCACAAGCACAGACGAGACGATTGAGGTGTCGGCGACTCTATCGCAGCAATACCGCCGGAAGACGTTCTTTGACAAATTGAAGTTTTTCCAGCCCGGAGTCTGGCAACAAGAGAACAAACTGCTCGGAATGATGGCCCGCCCCCTGATCTTCTTGACATGGCCTGTCATAGCCTTTGCCGGCTTCACCTACGGTAGTATCCTTGTGTGGTTTAACATTCTGAACGGAACCTCTTCACTCATCCTATCGGGGCCTCCATATCACTTCAAGCCCAGTATGGTTGGTTTGTCCTATGTATCTCCCCTTCTTGGAATTTTACCGAGGTACGTGCTGGAGATCTGGATCGAAGACACAATGGTCGGTCTATCGTCGATCCATTACTGACATGATGAAATCATTCAATGCAGTCTATTATACACCGGCCCTTTCAGCGACTGGTTCGTACTAAAGATGGCTCGTCGAAACAAAGGCGTCATGGAACCAGAACATCGTCTCTGGCTTCTGGCCATTTCAATCGTTTTAACCCCCACAGCGCTCATCATCTGGGGCGTTGGGGCCTACCGAAATATACACTGGTTTGGTTTGGTCTTCGCCATGGGCCTTCTTGCGTCTCAGATCGCCATGGGTTGCTCCATCTCTATCACATACTGCGTCGACTGCTACCGTCGTCTCAGTGGCGAAACCTTGATCACTGTCATTCTGATCCGGAACACCATGAGTTTCGCCGTGTCGTACGGGTCAGTAGAAGTCCCCACTCGTTCGTTGTTCTTCTTGGATTCGATCTGACTTACTGTGCTGCGCACTCTGAACCTTTTTAGTCTCACACCTTGGGTCTTGAACATGGGCTATCGTAACGCATTCCTGGTCGCAGCTTTTGCGGCCATGGCCCAGATATCTACGACCTTCATCTTCATCAAGTGGGGCCGAGCCATGCGCAAAAGAAGCATTCCTAAATATCTCGAGTATGTGGAGAAGACGATGGGGCATTGATGCTACGAAAGCTCTCCATAGAATTGTAGAATTGTGTGCGATCCTGAACGCTGCTGCGGCAGTGAAAGGATCATCCCAAGCAATAGGGTACCGATATCTTCTGAGAAATAGAGGAAAGAAGAGGAAATTGAAGAGATTCTGTCGGGGTCAACGAGAAATGTCACAAAACGCAAAAGTAAACGAGGAGATCTGGTCAAAGAAATGGATATGTCGATCTGTCTGAGAGAGAGAAAGAGGAGGAGAGGAAGGAAGAGGGATAATGCCCATCCAGTGGTGGGCAGAAGGTGACTCCTTAAGGATGAAGGGAGGAGGTGCGGTTTGGACATGATTTCGCAAGAAATTGAAATGAACACCTTGATGTTAGTATTATAGTGTATATAGCACTAAAGCCCTATAGAGAACTTTGGACCCGAGGATACAAGATCAAGCCATAGTGTCTGTGGATCCTGACCTCGAGCTGACCAGAAATAGTCCAGAAATGCTTTCATGTTATAACATGAAGCTCTCGCCACACCACTCGTAAGTTCAACCATTTGTCCCAGAACGTCGTCGTCGGTTACCTTGCTTCTCTCCATCTCAGTCATGGCGATGAAATAGGCAAACAGTATATACCGTGACCCGTACAGCTCCATCTGGCGGATCTGCTGCACCTTCGTGAGGATGGACTCTGCAATCGCTCGTCGAAGGCATTTGCTATGTGCCGTAGACGGCCCGAGTTGATGGAGAATCAACCTTGCCGTAGCTTGGTAGCACCACGCTTGAAGGCCCATGTAGGTGAATTCCGACGCGGACAACGCAGCTGACTGTTCGAATTGCTCGTGCAATTTATGAGTCCACAAAAATTCGTCCACGGCTGCTAGTAAATGGGCCCAGGTTTCGCAGTCTCCGTCTTGGTAGTTCTCCTCATCAGGTCCTCCTCGGGTGCCTTCCACGTTGTCATCTTCTGCAAGATCTTGGCCTGTTGTATAGCTGCTGTGGTCTTGCTGATGTCGTTTAGGACGGCGACGAAATCTCAACGAATGCGAAAAGACACAGATATCATAGAAGACCGGGAGCAAAGAGCGACTGATACCGTAATACCTGTCGACTCTGTCCGGAACTGGTACACGATACCGGAACGTCGGTATCTGTCGGTGACAGAGGCATTCGAATGTTTCGGAGAAGAGTGTGCAGAGGAAGTTGGGATCCATTTCCACGTAATCTGTCAGGCGGCGATTCAGATACCACGGTGCCACGAGCCGAAGGGCTGCCCGAGCTATATCGAGCGTGTGGTGTCCTATACGACTCTGATTGAAGGTTATGAGCGTGAGCCCGAGGTTGAGAGCAGCCGCAATGCCCTCCGGCGTCGAGACTACTAGCCGTAGGAGTGTCTTGAGTGCGCGTCCAGTGTTCTTCAAAGTGGTCTCGTCATCGTGCCGGCCTAGGAGAAGTCCCATCGAATTGGCAATGGTCCCACCCATACCGAGGTAGCCCATTGCTACGAGCTCGGGCGTGCAAAGGAATTGTGTCGCAAGCACCCTCTGCATCTCCGGCCGGAAGCTGGCGCCAAAGACGTAGAACTTCACAAAGCCGTTTTGATCCAAGATGAATTCTATCAGTCGTGTATCCTGTCCGCTAACGGCATGGCGAATGTTTGGGAACTGAGCAATCTGCTCAGTCAAAGGGAACAAGCACGTGTCGGAAGGGAATGGGACACACGCGGACATTGCTCCGTCATCGAGATCCGACATGGCCTGATCCCCTGAGGCCGACTGGACATCATTCTCCTCTTCATTGCCCTCGTCCTCAGCCTGGCTCTCGGGGTCTTGTACCTCTTCAAATCTCGCTGTCTCTTCTGTCTCTTCTGTCTCCGCGAAGGTGTTCAATATTTTACGGGGCCTGAAAGTGGAAGGACGACCAGGACGTAATGCTTGACGTTCTGTTTTACAATCGTGGTTGAGTCGAGCACAGCGGTCGCAAACTTGTGATTGTTGAGAGGAAAACAGACATTTCTCTTTAATCCTGTGGCATCGATCACACGCTCTCGGAGATGCTCTCTTCTTATACGGGGCCCACATGATGGACGTGAATGTGTCGAAACGCAGAGATAGGGTAGTCCTTGGAGCTGGAGAAGCTATCTCCAAGGCTTCGTACCCCGCTCTACGATCACGATGCCAAGGATACCAAGCCCATCGCAATCCAGGGGTGCGATTCGACTAAATAGTCGTTAGCGGGAGAGTAAAGCGGCGAGGGATGAGTCAGCGAAATGACCTACGGCGACGAGTGTTCGGGGATTATATATATATCCAAACACACACACATACACTGATGACGGCCTGGTTCCCGTCTCTATCTCTGGCTCCTTTTATTCCTTTTTGCACGACGGGGTAGCAAGCAAACTGAACTTGTTTGTCAAAGCTGCCAGAGTTGTCGCTATCGGCCTCTGAGAGACATCTCTCAAAAAGCATTGGCGGTGGCGGCGTCGTGGTCGAGACACAGATGTTTCTTTTCCTAGGTAGCAGAGAAAGGAAGGAGGCCGGCCATCGACCAAACACCAAAAGCTGCGATGAGAAACTGGCTCTCCAACAATATGCAGATGTAGGATGGCTGGGTAACTGCGCAACCCAGCTGTCGAAAAGAATTTCGTGTTTCTCATATCCTGGATATCCACCCTCGCTCGAATCTCCATGTCCAACGTCCGGGCAAATAAAACCCAAAGGTGCCCTTGAAGTATACAAAGCAAAAGAGACAAAGCTCACCCACCCAAGCTCAACGTGGAAAATTACTCTCCTTCATATCCCTCTCCGACCGTCGGATCCCGAGTGACTCTGATCTCCTGCATGGCGTCATTCCCGTCCCTTTCGCCCTCTAGCACTAGCCCCTTTTCATTTGCCAGGTGTAGCAAGCAAATGAAACAATAGGACGTGCTGATGTCCTTCATTTGGGGCTCGGGGTAGAAGGAGCGAAGGTCCTGGATGATATCTGTAAATTTCAACCTTCCCTCTTCGTCGTTGTTGGGTACACCTTCGTCAGCCGACGTCGATATAGGAGGCTCGGTTTCGGGTTGAATGTCATGCTGGGGCTGGTCATCGATATCCATCATATCGACATCACCATCGTCAACTCTCTGTTGCTCAGTTGCAGCTGTGGCAGAGGGTCGATCAAACACATCAATCAACTTCAATCGCCCTTCCATACCCTTCCATAGATTCTCCTTTAACCTCCTCACATCGACCTTCTTTGCCGTTCGCGCGTAGTTCACGTACTCGGGTCGGATCCGTCTCCCAGCCTGTGTCACCAGTTGGCTGCCGAAACTGCCTGGAAGAAGGTCAGGTTGGCTTGCTCGTTGCGGGTCTTGCTGTGACTGCTGGGATCCAGAAGGATCATGGTCTGCTCCAGCTTCGCCGAGGAGGTTGAGCTGCTGATCCTGCTGTGACTCGGGTTGAGGCGACAACATCTCCCTCGCATCCATGAAAGCCTGTCCGCCATCATCACCACCTCCATCAATCCCATCGTCGTCATCGTCGTCAATGGGCAATGGGCCATCAAAGGGGAGCATCTGATCGTCGTCCGCGAAGAAGTTCGCATCATAGTCACCTTTTCGGCCCTCATCATCCATATCACTCGCCCCTTCAGCAAAGGCGTTTGTGGTTCCGACACGATTCCTCGCTCCGAAACCCTCGTCAATAATGCCCATACCCACACCGCCCTCTTTTCTTCTGATTCTACCCACCCGACACTTTGGCTTTGTCCATAAGCGCATCAATTTTCTTGGGTCCACCACCTCGTCATCCTTATCCAGTAGATTGCGACCTTTTGTCCGCCACTGCGATTTCGGCAGGGAGATTTGCGAATTCAAAACAGGGGGTTGTTCAAGTAACTCCGTCAGAGATTCTGACATAGGACCCAGAAAATCAATCTCATATGGCTCCTTCTCCTTCTTTTGTCTGGCGGGTGGCGCATTTGTGCCACTGGCTTCTTGTTGTGCTTTCTGGATCTTCTGCATTCGCCAGTTTTCGAGGGTGAGAAACGCCGTCTTGCCTTTTGCGCGTGAGTTGAATGCTTTGTCGAAATAAGCCATAATAGACTCACGCTCTGCATCCTCCTGATACTTATGCTGTAAAGACAGTGCGTAACCGTCACCTCCATTTTCCAGAAGGTTGTCGTCCACGTCGTCTGCCCGAGCAACACGGGCCTGAGCTTCAATTGTATCTTTCGCCCAGGCTTCTCCTCCTTCACCGAAGCCCACGTTATCTGCGACATCGAAGCCGCCGAGTAGCCCGTCGGCGTCGTCATAATCGTCGTCAAAACCCATCGCATTGCTTCCGTCCAGGAAGATTCCTGTCTGGTCGGCCACACTTAGGGGTAGATTTGTTCCAGGTGCTGGTGTCTGGGCTCTTTTCTGTTCTTTCCATTCCTCGGGCACTTTCAGGAAAGGTAGGTTCAGGTCTCCAGACGGGTCGCCCAAGGCAAACGATTTCATAGACGGGCAAATGTCCTGTGAGTCCAGTACGCTCATGTCCGGGAAGAACTTGGATGCTAGAGAAGCGAGGTCGATTTCTTCGTCTTGATCATATGCGACGGGCTCCTCATCCTGAGTGCTGTGACTCGGCTCTTGTTGCTCCGTTTCTTGCGGTGTGTTTTCCTTGTCACCTCCCAAAGCAGCATCTCCCGCATCATCGCTGCTGTCAAACACGATGCGCCCGTCAGAGTCGATGGATAAATGATTCAGCAGCAAGCCTTTAGCTCCCCCTTCGTCAAAATCCGCAGATGCCTTTTTAAAAAGAGGGTCAACCGCAAACTCGAGCTCGAGCTTTTTGCCTTGGAAAGATGCGAAACCAGGTGCGAGTGTGGCTTCGTGGCTGCGCGCCGGCTTCTTCTTAGATTTTTTCTTCCCACCTCCTTCGCCATCCTCGCCATCCTCGTCTTCTTCGCCTTCTTCATCGTCATCCTCCTCTTCCCCATCACCTTTGTTTCGCCTTTTGCCACCTTCAGAGGCACCCCCGTCTGCGAGACCACTCAACAGTCGGCCGGTCTCCGTTGCCACACTATCGACTCTGCTCGTGTAGATCTTGACGCAGCCATCTAGCGTGCAGCTCGCCTTCTGAAAGTTGACTCCGTCTCCTTCTTTCAATAGACTCATATCATGGAAATAATCTATCAGAGCAAAATTCCATGAGTTTGCAGCATTGATTTTGTTGTCGGTTGCCATTTTCATCCATTCTTCAAAGTTTGCGAGGATCGGGACGCGTTTCATGGGTGTGACTCCGTTGTCTTCGGCGACTCGGCCCATGCTATTTCGTGGGTGTTCGCTCATTTGGCGCTGTGGGTTGTTCAATCCTCCTCTTCTTCGTACCTGCGAGCCATAATCCGATGTTCTTGGAGTTCGGGGTGCATCTGACAGGTTACTGTAGCTGGACTCTCTTCGTCTTTGGTTGAGTTTGCGCATGGGGCTTGCTGCCGCGCGAATCTCGTTCATATGGATTTCCTGGAGCGCGTGTCGAGATTGCAGCCGAGCAACCTTTTCGCCCTTGTCATCGTTGAGTGCCAATCTGTTGTGAGAGCATCGTAGGTCAGCATCGGCATTCGACACCAATTGCGATCTCGACGGGCCAGCAAAGGAGTTCGCATGGCTTCGTATCGCTCCAAGTAAAGCTGTTTGCGACAGATGGTCATACTTCACTGGAGAACCCTTGACACTCTCTCGCGCCATATTCATAACAACTGCTTGCCGACTCGGCCGCCCGCTGGAATCTCTTGCGACGCGAGGCATCGTGTCTGTGATCCTGATATTAGAGACCTTGTTTATCTTCGAGAAGGGCGTATGTCCTCAAGATCCACAGTGAAACCACCTGTCGCTTCTCCTCGGTTGTTTCAAAGGTGGGTTGTTCGCCTTGCCATCGCCTGATGTATTGTGGTGGACGCTCTCGAAGGTTGTTATGAGCGTTAAAACAGTTGGAGTGAGTCGTTTGTTGACATGCACCAGAACGGTTTAGCGCAGCCACACGTCTACACCCACACCCTTGGTCACGTGTTGTCCCTGTAAACCGGCCTGCCGGCAACGGCTTGACCTGGGCGTCCAAACTGCCCGGAATACTAGGTAGTTAGTTCTACTCGGCACAATAATCGTAGCTGATATACAAGGGCAGAAATATTCAATTCATGTTCAAGTCGCCGTGTCTGATTGCCTCTCCCGGTCTTCTCTACCTGCTTCCTCATGCCTCGTCTTCTTCCAATCATCATCTAATCTAGGACTCTTCCCGCAACAGCGCTTGCGCTCCTGTCTTTTGTTTCAGTCTTTCGCAAACCTCTACCTTTCTGAATCTCGCCAAGCAAGGCACCAATATCGCCGGTTCCGGAACGGGCAGGCGCAGGCATTGGCGGTGGTGGCGGCGGACCTCCCGGGGCATCCGATGTAGGGAAGGGAGGTGGTGGTGGGGGTGCACCGTAAGCACCGGAGCCTGGCATTGGAGGAGGCGGCGGCGGTGCTGTTGGTGCATTAGTCCCCGGCATCGGTGGAGGTGGTGGAGCGGAAGCGGAGTCAAATGCACCTGGAATAGGTGGTGGCTCTTGAACAGGCGTTTGGGGTTTGCTGTCCATAGCAGACAATGGTCTAGGTGGTGCCATGGTGCCGAATAGAATCGAAGCCAAGTGCTTTGCTGATCCGCCACCTGGGTGATCGGCTTCGTCGTCACTGTCTTCATCCTTTTCCGAACCTGCTGCCGACCATTCATCCTCCTCGGGACGACGT